GGACGGGGAGGAGCTCAGCCAAGGGGTGGTACCAGCCTCCCGACATGCTTCTGGTCAGGACAGCCTTCGGCTCATGCAAACAGGCTAATCTTCTACTTAGGCTAGCATGCAAGAATGCTAAAAACACGCTGCAACACAAGATCTTACAGGCTTCATGGTTTAACAATTTGCAAACACCAACAATCACTGTTCAAGAGCACCAAAATTTTCAAGAAATCCCTTTCCAAGTTTATACCCCAGACCTAGTCGTCTTCCTCATTTCTCTCAGAGACATTTGTCAGAAGTTTGCAAATCACAAGAGTACTGATAACACATCCACCAACCCAGTTATGAGCAGCTTTATTTTTAAAAATATTTATTTTTATTTTATGTGTATGAGTGTATTCCCCACATGTATCTAAGTGCACCTGTGTTGTGCAGCGCCCGCTGATGTTAGAAAAGGGTGTCAGATCCCCTGGACCTGGAGTTATAGACGGTTGTTAGCTGCCATGTGGGTGCTGGGAAGTGAAGCCAGGTCCTCTGCAAGACCAGCCAGTGCTCTTCACCACTGAGCTGTTTCTCCAACCTTTTTTGAAGAGCACAGGAATGCTGTGGCTCCTGGGATTCCTCCCACCCTGGACACAGAACGATGGATGTGCATGTGCCTGTCTGTCTCTCAGAAAAATCCCCAAATCTTTCTCTGAGAAAGTATCAAACCACAGTCTTCAGATTCACAGGGAGACCTGAGGCCTGGTGAGGATTTTCATGTTTAAAGGCAAAGTCAGCTGGATGCTGATGGGATGAATGCTGACGGGGACACTGTGGTTACTTGCAGGTGCTGTCCCAACAGTTTCCATGCCATCAGCTGGTTGAAGCCCAGGTCCCTATGGGCAGGCACCCTTTTACCTTGTTTGGATGAGGGAGAGGCCCAGGGTGATGGTTAGGTGACTTTTCTCAGGCCTAAGGCCTCACAGCCCAGCCTCCGGGTGTCCCTGACCACTGCTCTCTATGAAGTTTTCCAGATCTAGACTTGCACCTCTCAGTGGAACGCCAAAGCCTGACCTCTCGCTCCCATTGAGACCCTGATCTTCCACTGCCTTGCTTCAAATTCTCACAGAGTAAATGATTAACTTTGATTAGCCATGTGTAAAAAAAAAAACAAAAACAAACGCTCAAGTAAGATGCAATTCTGTTTTCATTTAAAACTACCCAGTCACATCGTAGTCCAAGTTACCAGCATTCTGTTTGTCCTTAAACTCTAAGTTGTTCTGTGAAACGAACAAAGTAAAAGCCAGCGGAAAATCTTAAGAATAATGTAAATTAATTTTCTGATCCTTTGGAGTTCTACTTTAATTACTCACGGCCCAGTGACGTTCGTCGGGTGTTACAGTCTTTCCTTCCCAACTACCATCTACCCAGCAATGAAGCAGTTGTTTGTGATTATAAAGTCACTTTTATCTAATAGCATTTTTCATCTTATCGTACATGGTTTATACTCATACATACAAAAACTACAGGCACCACAACACTGACTAGTCAGAAAATCATCTTAAAGCTTATCTATCAAGTACACAATCTGATAATTATTTTTCCCTCTTGGCAGACTTCAAATGCCCTAGAGATATAACCAAAACTAAACTTTAAAGTATAATGACACGTCAGGCATGGTGGCACACGCCTTCAATCCCGGCACTCGGGAGGCAGAGGCAGGCGGATCTCTGTGAGTTCAAGGCAGCCTGGTCTACATAGTGAGTTCCAGGACAGCTGGGGCTGCAGGGAGACCCTGTCTCAAAAAGACCAAAAAAAAAAAAAAAAAGAAAAGAAAAGAAAAAAAAAAAAAAAAAGAAAAGAAAAGAAAAAAAAAAAAAAAAAAAAAAAGAAAAGAAAAGAAAAAAAAGGAATGACAATGGTAGTGAGAAGAACACAGGTAATTTGAACTTTTGGAAAAACAGACATGCAGAAGTGAAAGGCAAATTGGGGAAGGAAACAAAAGGTAAAGCTTTAAGAAAATGCACAAGGGTCAGGGGGAGGTGGTGGAGGGCTGTAGTCCCAGCACTAGGGGGGCCGAGGTAGGAAGGGCGAGTCTGAGGCTGGGCTACACCATGTGTTCAAGGCCAGCTGGATTATATATAATGGACTCTGTTTCCTAAAAACAAGGAAAAGTGGAAGTACTTGATGTGGAAACAGCAGGAGCACGGTCTCCGTAGCTTTAAAACTCAGCACAGCTACTGTGCTGGCTGGATGGCCACAACCATGGCTTGCTCTCTGTGAGGTTCAAGACTGAAGAGTAGCGATCGCCCTGACTCAACTTGGTGAGCAGCAGTGTCCATCACTGATCTGAAGTGATCATCACTGACAGGCACCCAGTGTCTAAACAGGCCCAAACTATTCATTTAAAGACAGCAATTGCAATTTTCAGAAATGAGGCCCCCAAAAGATGAACACACATTGTCCCGAACTTGGGGCCTTCATTTGTACTGGGATGTTAAAATTATTTAGTGATATCATTAAAGACTTTAAAAATCTGGCTTTTAATATATTAAATACCAACAACCTTTCTGTCATACATTTTTGAGACCCACAGAATGGGAAACAAAGAGTTAGAACCTTCTGGAAAATTCCCGAGGTAAGCAAACCAAAGTTCTGGGGTTCTCTAAGCCCCTGATATCTTTGGTCACCTTGGGGCCCAGGTATTCTTAGCAACTCCATTCCAGGGTTGCTCAACGTCAACTAACCTTGGGTTGACTCTCCTCACAATGATCAAAGGTGGGGTTCACATCTTCAATAGGCACATGGGTGCCACCCGAGGTCTAGTGGTTTACTCATGATGCATGTTTATACCGCAGGGGACAGTTCCAGCCAACACAACCCCAGGTCACCCCTCCCACTGTCCAAGAGAGTAGCTCCCCTCCGCTCTATTTGCAAAGGTGGCGAAGGGGGCTCTGGAAATGCCGTGACTACAGCTCTTCGCAAGCTCCCTCCACGAACATCGGCTTCCATCTTCTCTGGGGCTGCAGGAGGCAGAACAGGTGGCTGTCCGTTGCTTCTGTCTTCTGGTTACAGTGCTCAAGGGGTCTGCATGGGTGAATGGAGCTCCCTCAGCCACCAGCCATTGCAGGTAAGTGTGTAAAGGGGCAAGAAGTGTGGAAGGGGGCAGTGGACGGGGAAAAGGGAGTGGGAGAAATGTCTTTTTCCCTAGCAAACAAAGTGTCCTACAAATGTCTACTGCACTGGCTGAGTACAGGTCCTGAGCACAGAAAACACCCTTCAGTCCTTCAGAGGCCAGGACAGTGGGAACACCTTCTATTGTATGCCCCTTGGCACAAGGCCACATGGCATGCTGCACAAAGTGGTCTCCTAGGAAGGGGCCAGGTAAGAGGAACGAGCCTTGCGCCTTGAGCCCTCTAAGCCCTAGAGGGAGTCCTCCAGGACAGAGCAGGCATTTATATATTCAGGTCCCTAGGACTCTGGTTAACTGGAAATGCTAAACATTACAGAAAGTAGTCAACACTGCACATCTGATTTTCTTTTTTGTTGTTGTTGAGACTGGTATCACAGGGCTTAGCCTGGCCTTGAACTTGATATGTTGGCTTTGAACTTCTGATCCTCCTGTCTTCACTTCTCAAATGCTACAATTACAGGCATGTACCACCAAGGGTTATGCAGTGCTGGGGAGAGAACACAGGGTTCTAAGCCAGGATTCAACCAACTGAGCTACACCCTCCAACCCTGTCTGCATCTGGTTCCTGAAGAAGCCACACAGTGGGTCGTTTGTACCTTTCCTAGCACCTATAAACCAGTGACCCATTATCTCTCCTATCTGCATCAAGTACTGTAACTGCCTTTGAAGCAAGATTAACATTTACCTGTAGGCACATTCTGGTTTGGGGCTAGAAATATTCAACTTTTGGATTTATGGTATTGGTGATGAATACTTTCCTCTCTTCTGCCCCATCGTCTAGGCTCCTTTGAGGATGTGGTTTACAGTTAACCCTTCAATTCTTTTCTGACTTCATATTGTTTGGCACTGAAATTTTCCAAATTGCCTTTTATGTCCAAGTCTTCCTAACAGTGAATACAGCTGAGCTGTCCGTGTCTGGATGGCTCAAGGGCTTTCACTGTGTCAGCTACTGTGCTGGGTTCTGATGTTCATGCGGAACATACAGCCGATGATGAAAAGGTCCACCTGCTGGTTCTTTTATGTTCACTCCTGCCTCAGCACTGAGCTCTTCACTACACAGTGGGTCCTGACTGCCTGTTCACTGGCACATGCCTTCCGAGATAACAAAAGGGATCAACAGTGCTGGGCAGTTCAATGCATGAGGGGTGAGCAGGCGAGAAGGCAGATGGCTGAGCTGGGAGATGTATGATGAAAACACGCCTAGTTCTGAGATGTGCTCTTGAAGGCATCAGGAGGAAAGAACGTAAAATGGTTTCCTAAGAAACCTCAGAAAGTTGGAATGAGCAGTTTTCTAATATGTATTACAGCATAAGCTGGAGACACCAACTGCAGCCCTCCTGCCCTGCAGCGCCCTGGGCTGCGGTCTCCAGCACAGGCAGAGCGTGTCACGTCCCCCTGCCCCTCCTGCCCTGCAGCGCCCTGGGCTGCGGTCTCCAGCACAGACAGAGCGTGTCACGTCCCCGTCCCTCCTCAGGACACTTGTGCACCACTGTTTTCTCACCACTTTCATCTTCCTCCTAAAACTGTTCTAGGAATTGGTGTTTTTTTCACAGAGCACCAGCATGGATTACCCTCCTTAATGGGGGACACTAGGGACTGTCCACAGAGCATGCAACTGGGCCAAGGGACTGCTCAGCCTCCCGGGTTCCCACACCTGTGCCAGGTCAGCCCTCTGAGTGGAGCTGCCTTGTCACTGACAAAGGTACCAGGAATGGGTATTCCAGAACCCCCAGGGGAGTTCACAGCCCAAAGTGGGTACCGTTTCATTCAGGTGGGCACTGGCGAGACAAGCAGCTAGTGTCAGAGGTCAAGGGGCTCAAAGACCAGAACCACAGGCTTGTAAAATTATAAAATGCTTTTATTTTCATCACATAACACTTGAGTTTGCAACTTTACTGAGGTTTTGGTCTTTCTGCATTCCATTCTATCTTGTAACAGTAGTATGAATTCACATAATCTCATAACATGTCAAGAACAGTCATGCAGTACAGTCCTTGGGACTTGACACTATCATCACTTTTAAATTCAACTTTACAACCATTTTCTAAATGCTTTTTGATATAGAAAATATAGATTTCCTTCAGGCATATAAAATAATAAATTTCCGATAAGAAAATATTGAGAAACAACAAATAACATTTAGACCAAAACACAAAAGTTGGACCATAGTCTAGAGTCCTTTGCACAAGAACAAGTAGTTTTGTATTTTTCTGAATGATGATCAAACATTCAAACAGGAAGATCATTTCAAAGTCAATAAAAAATTAATGACCGTCTCTCCTAAACGCTACAGTAGGAAATGTACTTTCAACTTGTCATTTATAGAAAAGAATAAAAATAAAATCTTTGTATAAAATGAATTTGGAACATCACCAGAATGAAGAGAAATAAAATCCTTCTACAGAATTAATTCAGATACCACTGACAACAAGATCCAAGCGCACTGGTGTGAAGTAAAATACGTATATGAGGTAAAGTCACAGATGTCCCTTGTGCTTTCAGACGCTTGTCTATCTACAGCCCTGTAATGATTAGTCATAATCCTAAGGTGCAAGTTCTCTCACCCAGTGACCTTTATGCTTTTTAATCATTTAGCTCCTTTAAATAAACTATCGTAAGGCTATATTGTACATACTAAAATCAAATATGAAAACACAACTATACGAATAAGACGTATTAGTTTATGTATCTACTACTCATAATGCAGAAACCTAAGAAAGCTATTTGGTCATTCTATTAGATGCTGACATATTTGGTCAAGAATACCCACATTCATATCGCCTACAGCAAATGTTAAATATTTTGACCTTAGGCTGGAATGTGGATAGACAGACTAACATTTGATGCTAATGGAATGTTCTCAGCTAGAACTTAAACTGAAAACAAACATGTCTAGGTGACCAACAATTTCATACAAATCGACAAGTAACAGTCTGTAATTTAAAGTAGTAGGTATTTAGTGACTGTCACACAATACAGTGCCAGAAATTAGAGGGTTTGTGAACTTCAAGAGCGGAGCTGAGGGAGTCTCAGATGCTAGAGTTACTGTGCGGGGCCCTTGGCCCTCTCTGGGCCCTCAGCCCTGCCCGCCTCCTACAGCCGCTGACTCACGACATGGTGCAGTCTTCCCTGCTCTTCCCCTTCTCGTCCGCCCCGCTCGCCTGCCGCTGGCTTTCTGAGCTGGTGTCCCCCAGCTCCCCCGACAGGCCATAGTGTTCTAGGATACCACTATCTAAAGCGTTCTCGGCTGTCTGGCCTGGATGTGTGGCCAGCACGTGCTCCTCTGCACTTTCCGTCTGAGCAGCACGGTTGACATCCTCTGGGGGACTTTTCTTTTCGGAATGAGAGCCGTCGCTCCCTTCTTCACACTCAGGCTCTGTGGGACCATTCGTGGGACCCTTTGTAACATGCTGTTCCATCTGCTCATCCTCCACACTGCTGCCTGACGGCTGTGTCACCTCATCTTCAAGCTGCACCCTCGAGACCTGGGTTTTTACATCCTCTTCCTCTTCTTCCTCCTCCTCCTCCTCATTCTGTTTTCCATTCAACTCAGCTTTAGGATCTTCTGGACAATCAACATGTTCACTGTTTCCTGCTAGGATTTCCTGCTTTGGATTGTCCACCTCCCCATTCTGAGTTCCTGCCACCTGACTTTTGTCAGTGAGCTGTCCCTGATCACCTTCCTCAACCTCACCTGCTTCTGTGCTCTGACAGCCCGACTCCTTCCTGTGATCTTTGAGGGCTTCCACAGGGGCTGCTGACTTCTTCTTCTTGTTTTTCTTCTTCCTGTTCTTTGTTTTCTTCTGTGGTGAACCCAAGGCCTCTGCCTCCTGGGTGTTCTTTTCTTGCTTGGGTTCTTTCATATCCAGAGATGCAATCTTAGCATCTGTGCTACCTGGGCCTATTGCATCCTCAGGGATGCTCTGTGCTATGGGAGCCCCAGGGCTGGCCTGGACTTCTGTCTGGGCAGGCTTTTCTTGCCCCGTGCCGGGGCCCACCCCATCGACCACACATGTTCCATCCTGACTTGCCGTGCTGTCGGCGTGTTCCGGAGGACGGGAGGTCACCACATCCACTTGTTCCCCACCCACGGCCCCCCCTGTCTCTGCCACATTCTCCGTGTTGTTCTCACCTGTCCCCCCCGAGTCTGCACAGCTCACCTTGTCAGCTTCAGGAAACTGCGCAAGAACCGAGTCTGGATGTGGTTCAGAGCTAGCTTCTTTCAAGTCTGCTTTCAGACCTTCTTGTTTTTCGATTTCCTGACTGCCTAGAGAGTTTGCACTTTGATTTTGGATACCCAAGGCATCACAACCACCCTGCCCATGAGTGGGACCTGGTCCTTCACTATCTAGATCCCCCAGGCAGTCGGACTGTTCAAGGGCATTTCTGGTCCTATCATCTGGCTTGTCTGTGACCTCATGTGACTCAGTCTGCTCTGGGTTTTCGAGGAAAGAAGTATTCTTGTGAACTTGGCTCTGAACCTGCTGCTCACATTTAGCATGTGCTAGCGGTCCTGGGGATGGGGCACTGTCTTCAGCTGGTTTCTGGGTCTCAGCATTTTCACCAGGATGTAAGACCTCTCTGTGCTGTACTGTGTCCTCTTTGTGCTGTTCCTGCTCAGTATTCGGCAAGATTTCTCCTTTCCCCACATTTTCCACAATTTCATTTCTCACCTCCACTTCTTTGGCTTTTCCTAAAAGACCATTGAGAGAATTGAAGGGACCCCATGATGCGGTGGCTACTTAACAGACATTAAAAAGCAAACACATGATCTACTTCCCACCCAGCTTGCTCCTAAAGAGAGAGAGAGTCACCCGAGAGTCACAGGAAACAAGCCTTCGCCAGGTCTGTGCGGCAAAGCAGCAACTACATTAGTTTGCTTTGGATGAGTGAAGGGTCCTCTCCTCCAAGGCAGGAGCGACTGCCAGCGCCACCTGCTGGAAGCTAACTTGTAAGGGTGAAGTTAAGATTAACCAATAGGAATAGCGCCAGGTCAGGCAGCCACAGAAAGGGTATGCTCCTGTATCTAGATGCACGTCCCAACCACTCACTTTCAGGCACCCAAATGCCGTGTGTCTCACACAGTCCTAACAGGAGCTTTCACATTTCCTAAAGAGAACATTCGGTTCACTTTCAGAAACTCAGCTTCAAAGCCTGTCTCAAGGAAGACACTTTCAAGTAAATCCTCTAAGTAAAAAGAAATTGATGTCCCACCACCCAGCACTGTCTTCTTGAGAAAGCACTCTGCTCCAGGATGCTCCAGGACAGCCCAGATCTGCTCCAAGGGAGTGGCAAAATGTCTCAACAGAAGGGAAAACTGATGATCAAGGTGACCACCATCTCAGTAGTTACTCGTCAGCCAAAAGCATCTCACTGCTTCAGATGGTCAGTTATAACTGGGATCAATCCCCAGCCTATGAGGGGGAGTGAATGCCTACCAATCTTAGAACCCTGTGGTCTCTCCCGTGTGTCTGTGGCTCACCCAGGAAAATGGGGGGAGGGGGCGGATATTAGGATTTTATTTAGAAGTAACTTAATTTTATCCTTTAAAACTTTCATTTATTGCATATATGTAGGGATACACATTTTATGATAAAGCATGCATAAATTTAAAACAAACATATATTCTGGGAAGTTCCCATAACTTTTTACAGGTGCGATGCAGCATAAAAAAATCCTTTGGTGGCCACTTACAAATTTATGGGAGTCATGTTCTTTTGGAATTTCACGATAATTATCAATTTTGTACATTGAGACAAGAACAACAGAATCATGTACCTAGCTGGGCCCTTTTACGGTGGAAGCTGACTAAATCATCTTTTTGTCTCCACAATTCACACATTTGTAAGTCGTGTTCTTTGACAGTCACAGAGGGGATGAGGCAGCTCCTAGGAAACCAATCCTGAGAAGCTGGGCATACAGGTTTCTACATGTACAGAAATAAGAAATAAGACGCAGGTCTCCAACCTGAAATTAACCATCACAGACCCTGGCTTCGCAAAAATCTGGGATGTAACCAGTAGCCAGGGACAGGTGAGACCACTTTATTTGGGGGCTGATGCTGGAGGGGTTATCCCAAAGCCCAAAGTTAGGACAAATATTAATTTGTGATTCTTTCTAAACCACTGAAAACTGTACAGACTATTCTTATGATCCTTGGGATTTCCAAATTTTATATTTTCCCAGGAGCAAACAGCGTATGATACAGAGGAGGCCACCTCTGCCCAAGGTTCGTGAATTCCAGCTCCTGTGGACATACCCTCTTACAGCATGGGTTCCGTCCCATTCCACTCTGGAGGTGGTGACAGCAGCTTCAGAAATGCCATCACTAGGCACTATGCCCCGACCCCTCACAAGCACCGATGTGCCCTGGACAGGCACTCCTGCATGGTGTGTATGTGTATAAGTGTGCAAGGCTGGCTGGCAAATATGGTCAGCTCACCCACTTCACAGCTTCTACTAATCTGACCTTTGGACAACTCCGTAAAAGGATTAAGTCAGAAGTCATGGTTGGGACAGAGCCAAAGAAAACCCAAATTACAATCCTGCTACCTCTGACCCTGTCTGTCACTTCATTATGAGTTAACTTCCTCCACTCAGTCTCACTGGGTCACCTTGAGAAGCAAAAAAGACACGTGTCCTTGAGCCACTAGTGTAAGCACTACATAGAAATGCATGCCAGATAGCACGTGTGGGTGATCACATGATTTGGCAGGGAAATTACTATGAAAGGACAGAACACATGGCATGCTGCGTGACTGTTAATCGATGAGTGACAATTGCTTGGATTCTGATAATGCAAGAAGGTCAATCACTGCTAACCTGAATAACGGAAGGACCCAAAGGAAGCACTTACCTAGTGTCCCCTCCCCAGCAGACTTGAGGGCATTTAACTCTTCTCTTGTCATCTTGGTGGGGCCTTGGTACCCGACATCATTTAGTGTGTCTGAAGTCTCTCCATTGGTAGCTATTTCTGAATTCAGGATTATTCCATGTTTCTGGGAACAAAAACAGGTTCATAGCATTCAGTGAAATCAGGTTAAACTCTATTAATAATTACAAAGAGGGAAGCAATTTCTCCTGATGTAAAGGATAACTCTACAGGAATAGAGAAGTGCCTGGGTACCATACTCATATAAGTATTCTATTAACACACGCAGATCTGCGATGACTTCCTCCAAAGACTGTTTGTTCCAGTCTAAGACCTAATTTTCTAGTGACAAGATACTCTGAACAACTTCCCTTTCATCAGAGCAATGGTCTGTGGGCTGCCATAAAGGGGGGCATCAAGAAAATGACTGGGAGTGATCTTTTCACTGTAAAGCCCTGACTGCGTTCATTAAAAAGAGAGACTACAATCAAGAACAGGCTTTGTGGGGCTGGAGAAGTGGCTCAGTGGTTAAGAGCACTGGCTGCTCTTGCAGAAGACCTGTGTTCAGTTCCCAGCACCCACATGGCAGCTAACAACCTTCCAAAACTCTAGTTCTAGGGGAGCTGATGTGCTCTTCTGGCCTCTGTGGGCATTGCATGACATCACTGCAACCATGTGCAGGCTAAAAATCTCAAACACATAAAATGAAAATAAATAAACAAAAAAGAAGGAAAGGGAAATGTCTTTGTTTTGGAAGGCATGAATGAGATTCACAATAAAGAAGGTAAAGATTTTTGGGACAGTCAAAAGAACGATTTGTCTCAGGACATGATCAAAGTTCTGAAAAGTATCTCCTTGCTTCTGTCCCAGGTACCACCTGACTGACTCCTGGCTCCCAAAGCTCTTTCCCTGGGTCTACACTGACTCCAGATGCTGTCTGCACAGCCTGGACAAGGAACATCATTTATGCCTTAGCTCCAACCCTGTATCCTGCTACTCTCCTGCTCTGACTGTGACTAAGGAACTCAGGAGTGGACAATGATGTGTGTCCAGGGGACTCAGGACGTTGCTGTGACCATGGCTCTCTCAGTCCTGCTGTGGCAGTACTCTGAGAGCCCATCTGTGGCTGCCGGCTCAGGCTTCCCTTCTGGAGAGCTAGCAGCTATGAACCCCTCCCCTCCCAAAAGGATGTGAAACTTGCCCCTCCTATGGTCTGGCAGGTAGGCCTTATCCCTCCCACTTTCCCCAGACATTATTCACCTTGGGAAGTCCCTGGACAGGAGGCTTTAAAACAAGGAAGTACACATATTCTAACGAGGGTGAGAAAATATTTAGATAAATGTCAAAACTCAGAGCTTGAAATCCAGGCTGCTTTCAAGATCAACTCTGCTTGTAAACATGCAACGATCCTGGGCTGAATGAAGCCTAGACGGGCACTGGCTTCACCTGCTTCACAGGGACAGCAAACTCAAGGTTTAATTAAGTTCATTAATACAGCTGCAGACAGTGGCAGAACTAGAGCCAGTGTCCACACGCACACGCACAGGGCCCCAGAACCTACTGCTGTTGCTTCGAGACTTTTCTTTTCTTTTCTTTCTTTTTTTTTTTTTTTTGGTCCTTTTGAGACAGGGTCTCCCTGTAGCCCCAGCTGTCCTGGAACTCACTATGTAGACCAGGCTGGCCTTGAACTCACAGAGATCCGCCTGCCTCTGCCTCCCGAGTGCTGGGATTAAAGGTGTGTGCCACCACACCCGGTGACACTTTTCTTAAACTGAACTTTGGCTTCATACCTTTAATTCCTCTTTCAGCTTGACTATTTCTTCTCTAAGATCATCTCGTTCGCTCCGTATGGAATCAAAAAACTCTTTCTGCCTCTCTAATGCCTGAGAGAGAGAGAGAGAGAGAGAGAGAGAGAGAGAGAGAGAGAGAGAGAGATTAGCATAGACAGCAGGATAAGCAAGGTGCAGGAACAAGGAGGCACTCTTCATCTGAGGCGTCAGTGAGAGACCCTTCTAGAGGATACCGTGCAGTTTATGCCAGCCTGGACCAGCTCCTGCTCACTCCCAGGGAGACCCTAGCATGTCAAAGCAAGGGATGCTGAGGGAGGAAGGCTGCTTCTCATCATTTCTGTCTGTTATTTCATTGCTGTGCTGGAGATTGAACCTAGAACCTCACACATGGGAGACAAGTGCTCTACCCTGAGCTGTATCCCAAGGAAATCCCACTTTTATAATTGTGCGTGTGTGTGTGTGTCAGAGGACAACCTCAGGTGCACATCTTCAAGTGCCATCTACTTTTTTAAGACAGGGTCTTTCACTGGTGTGGCGCTCCCTAACCAGGTGAGGTGGATCGGCCAGTGAGCCTCAGGAGTACTCCCATTTCTACCCCAACCCCTCAGCCTCCCTAGTTGCTGGGATTACAGGCACACACCACTACACCTGAGTTTTTTACAAATGTTCTGGGGATGGTCTGAGGTCTCTGTGCTTACAAGGCAAACCCCTTCCAGACTGAGCCATCTCCCCTGTTCTTCAACAGTTTTTATACACGGATTACGGGCACTTGTCATTTACAAAGTGTTCTGAAAAAAGTATTTTTGCACACATACAGCCCTTCACTTAGCCAAGGGTTGTGAGTGCATCAACTGTAACCTTAGTGGGGCTTCACATTATGATATGTCTGTGATGTGGCAGAGTACCTTTATGGGGACTGTCACATGAGCTATATTTTGGAAACTATGTGCCACTGTGAGTCAGCAGTGACTTGGGGTCTCCTCTTCCCATTTATCACCCCTTAATGTAGATGGGCTGATAATGGAGAGAGATCTGACAAGGCTTCTCTGGAGAGGTTTCAAAGTGAGAACACAAGGGGCACAGTATCTGCCACCTACAGCGTTACAAACCCCAGAGGAAAACACCTACAGGGGTAGTGAAGTGTGAGGCATTTGACCACCTGGACTGAGCTGCCCAGAGCCTTCCTCCCTGCCTGGACGCTGGGTACCCCAGGGCCTCTGCCATGAGCTGTCTAGAACCTTCCTCCATGCCTGGACGCAGGGTACCCCAGGGCCTCCGCCATGAGCTGTCTAGAGCCCTCCTCCCTGCCTGGACGCAGGGTACCCCAGGGCCTCCGCCATGAGCTGTCTAGAGCCTTCCTCCCTGCCTGGACGCAGGGTACCCCAGGGCCTCCGCCATGAGCTGTCTAGAGCCTCCCTCCCTGCCTGGACGCAGGGTACCCCAGGGCCTCCCCCATGAGCTGTCTAGAGCCTTCCTCCCTGCCTGGACGCAGGGTCCCCCAGGGCCTCCGCCATGAGCTGTCTAGAGCCTTCCTCCCTGCCGGGACGCAGGGTCCCCCAGGGCCTCCGCCATGAGCTGGCTAGAGCCTTCCTCCCTGCCGGGACGCAGGGTCCCCCAGGGCCTCCGCCATGAGCTGGCTAGAGCCTTCCTCCCTGCCGGGACGCAGGGTCCCCCAGGGCCTCCGCCATGAGCTGGCTAGAGCCTTCCTCCCTGCCGGGACGCAGGGTCCCCCAGGGCCTCCGCCATGAGCTGGCTAGAGCCTTCCTCCCTGCCGGGACGCAGGGTCCCCCAGGGCCTCCGCCATGAGCTGGCTAGAGCCTTCCTCCCTGCCTGGACGCAGGGTACCCCAGGGCCTCCGCCATGAGCTGTCTAGAGCCTTCCTCCCTGCCTGGACGCAGGGTACCCCAGGGCCTCCGCCATGAGCTGTCTAGAGCCTTCCTCCCTGCCTGGACCCAGGGCCTCCATCATGAGCTGTCTAGAGCCTTCCTCCCTGCCTGGACGCAGGGTACCCCAGGGCCTCTGCTGCAGCAGGGAGAGGGAGGCAAGTCCAGGTATGCAGCCATGGTTCCATCCACCTGGGTGGGCTGGTGTAGTCACCATGCTATTCATGTGTCACATGGGGGTTGCATGCACACCCATGCAAGTACCTCCGCCATGAGCTGTCTAGAGCCTTCCTCCCTGCCTGGACGCAGGGTACCCCAGGGCCTCTGCTGCAGCAGGGAGAGGGAGGCAAGTCCAGGTATGCAGCCATGGTTCCATCCACCTGGGTGGGCTGGTGTAGTCACCATGCTATTCATGTGTCACATGGGGGTTGCATGCACACCCATGCAAGTATTTTCCAAACCAAAGCTTCTGCAAGAACCACATTTGCTAGATTTGCCAGGCTTGAGACCCTACCCCTATCTTTTTGTCTTTCCACTCCATTGTGTCCTGAAGATCAGAGATCTCCCTGATATACCCCGCCTGTTTCTGTTGTAGCTGTCGGATTTCCTGAGGAAAGGAACAGACAGAAAGAAAGCAGATAAAGGGTTAAGCAGGGAGAAAACGCTCAGTGCTAGATGACCAGAGCTTGGACTGTGTGGAGTCAGAAAGCAGCACTTCACCTCAGCAACCCTGAATTCACCAGATGTTAGTAACTTTCCCTGTTCTACTCAACTCCAAGAAGTACAGGGAAAAAACCAGCTTGGGTGGAATCTCACCTCAAAGCCATCAGTTAAAGTCCTGGTTAAGCTAAAAAAGTAAAGCCCAACCCTGTACAATCACACTTTGCTGCACAGTAGGGAGGCAGCCAGGACATGCAGTTAGGTGAGGCTGTCATTCTGTCAGCACCACACCGTGTCCTCACACAGACGAACATGCCTGTGACATCACCGGGCAATATAATCTACAGGATGACTGTCCATGTGTCCCACTGTTGATCAAGATGTGACATGGCACATGACTGTGATCGTTTCCCCATGGTAACAAATGACCACAACTTTCAGAAAACAACACAAATCTTCCTTACAGTTCTGGAGATGAGAAGTTTGAAAGTCTTATGGGCTAAAATTGAGATGTGGGCAGGTTCCACACAGAGGGTCCAGAAGAGAATCAATCTTTGTCTTTTCCAGACTCTAGAGCCTGCCCACATGCTTGGCTTGTGGTCCTTCCTCACAAACTCCAGTCCCTACTGCAGTACTCTCCCATCTCTGTGCAACCTGTGTCCCGCTCACAGGTAAAGTAGCGATTCCCTGAGAGCTACTCAGGTGATCTAGGAGCGTCCTCTCAAGGTCCCTAATTCCACCTTCGAAATCTCTTTTTTTCAATATTTACACCTTTTAGGGATCAGGATGTGGACTTTTAATGAGTGGGGGGCATTATTTTACCACACTTCCCAAAAGGAACCCAAGACCACCACAGAGTGAGAATCCTCACCAGTGAGAGGAATCATTTCCTTATGGAAAGTTAACGTAAACCCTGAATTTTGATCAAAGCTCTAGCTTTAGTAATTGCTATGAGCTGACCATCTGCCCTCCAAGGTGACTGGAGTATACAGACATGAAGTTTGCAGAGATATTAAGGGTAACCAAGGTCATGAGGATGGCACAGACGCCCTGTTGAAAGCTTGCTCTCTGCGTGGTGAGCATATAGCTCTTAAGGTGACCCTTTGCACCTGACCTTAACCCGGGACTCTGGGCTCCAGAACTGTGAGGGAATAAATAGCCTACAGTATGTTCTCAGGGCAGCCTGAGCTAAAACAGTAAGAACCCATCAAAACGCTCCAGAAGGGAAAAGGGAGGCCCCACCTCAAGCGCTTCTTCCCTTTGCCTCAAGGCCTCCTTCACTTCGGCAAACTGGAACTGCAGGACACCATGGGCGTGCTTCTCCCGCTCGAACTCCTGAGGAGGGAGGGGGGACAGTGCTGAAGCTGAGTGACCTCACGGCTGTCCGGAGGGCTCGGTTCTCATCTCCGCATTTCCCTCGGGACAAATACCCTGCTGCTATGTGTACCCCCCTTTCCAAGGCCTACAACCCAAACCCACGTCTCTGTCCTCCACAGAGGAGGCTCGGATGGTTTCTATGCAATTAACCTGGGGACTGCGCGCAGTGGACAGTTATTTCCAACTCCTCTGGGGCCGAGTCCTGGGCAGGGACCTCTCAGGGCTGCCCTGCTATGGTCCCCAGACCTGTGCTGAAGGCTGGGATGAGACGGCCCACACGGGATGAAGATCGAACTGGCCTGTGCTCAGGAACACCAGTGGGTCCTGACAGACGCCCAGGTGGGACTGCCCTTCTCTCGGCTTCAGAGGGTTAATTCTAAAAAGGAGTATCCGTGCCTTTTCCCAACCAATCAGCAGAGATAGAACTGCTGACATCTGTAGCTGGTACACTATCGCTGACGTAAAATCAGGAAATGGTTTTGGAGGGACGATCCCGAAGCGTCTGCTGTGCATTACTTTGAAGCCTACTGGCTCTTCCATACACGATTTCTCCATGGTTATTTCACTTCACATACAAAACACCAACATTCTAGTAAAAGTCCCGAGTTCACATAACAAAATTATGCACATTGACATTTCAAATCATTCAGAAGAGAACAGGGAACTATTTAAGTTTTTTGAGCATGTGCTTGTGTACGTACGTGTGGGTGCACATATGTGTACATGCATAGGCAAGGTTGTGTGGAGGCCAGAAGTCCACCTTGGGTGTTATCACTCAGAAGCTGTCTACCTTGGTTTGTTTCTTTTTATCTTTAAAACTAATTTTTTGATCTATTTTTATTTTATGTGTATGAGTGTAATGCCTGCATATATGTTAAGTGCACCTATGTTTTGCCTGTGGCGGACAGAAGAGGGTGCTGGGTCCCCTGGAACTGGAGTTACGGAGGTTGTTAGCCACCATGTGGGTGCTGGGATTCGAACCCAGGTCTTCTGCAAGAACAGCCAGTGCTCTTCACTGTGAAGTCAGTTCTCTAGCTCCTTTTTTGTCTTTTTAAAAAAATATTTTATTTATTTTTATTTTGTGTATGAGTATATTGCCTGCATGTATGCAAGTGTATCCATGACGTGCGATGTCCGAGGATGTCAAAAAAAGGCGTCAGATCCCTTGGAACTGGAATTATGCATGTTGTTAGCTGTCACTGGGTGCTGAGAACCCATCTTGGGTCCTCTTCAGCAGCAGCCAGTGCTCTTAACCGCCGAGGCATCTCTCCAGCTTTGCTGTTTTCAGTTTTTTGAGATAGGTTCTCCCTGTAGCCCAAGCTGGCCTAGAACTCCCTATGTAGACCAGGCTGGCCTTGATTTCGGAGAGTTCTGCTTGCCTCTGCCTTAACAACATGTGCCACCAAGCCCAGCCTCCTCCTTGGTTTTAAAGACAGGCTCTCTCATTGGCTGATTGCACTAGTCTGGCTGCCCACTGCGCCCCAGGGATCTACATGTCTCTGCCTCCCGAGTGGGTAGGACTACAAGCACATGCCATCATGCCTGGCTTTTGACACAGGTGCTAAAGACTGAACTCGGGTCCTTATAAAGTCTGAGTTATCTCCCCAAGCCTCAAGGTTAGTTTGTTTTGTTTTGAGACAGTCTTATTACATAGCCCAAGATGGCCTCAAACTCACAATCCTCCTGCCTTAGCCTCCCATATGCTGGAATCACAGGCATGTGCCACTACATCTGGCATACTTTTCTAATTCTCAGAATTTGGGCTTCCTGGAGAATCACTGTTTAAAATATACAGAGGCTGGAGGGAAGGCTTGGTAGCTAAGCGCTCACACTGCTCTCTAGAAGACTCGAGTCTAGTTCCCAGCACTTACGGCAGGTGACTCACAACCACCTGTAATGCCAGCTCCAGGAGATCTGACCCCTTCCTCTGGTTCCCACAGGCACCTGCATTCACACATACATTCTCCTCCCTTTCTCTCTCTCTCTCTCTCTCATACACACACACACACACACACACACAGAATTCAAAAGTAACGATCTTGAAAACTGTAACCAGTGCACACACATATAAGCATATAACCACACATAGACGTCACGTGTCTGTCCCCGCCCCAGGCCCTGCAGAGCCCACCTTGCATTTCTCCTCATAAAGCTGCTGGGACTCGGCCAGCCGCTCCTCCAGCTCCAGCAGCGTGTCTTTCAGGGTGTCCACCTGGTACATGAAGTTGGTCTTCTCATTGTCCAGCTGAGCATTGGAGACCATGGCCCTCTTGTACTTCTCTTCGACTTCTGCTAGCGAGTCCTGCAGGAACCAGGACACAGTATTGAAATTGTGTAAGAAAACCAAGTAAAGATGAATTCAGCTTTTTTTTTTTTTTTTTTTTTTTACGATCTCAGCTTCTGATGTTGACTTTAGGGTGAAAGAATCAGGATGTGAAGAAGCAGACTGCAAATTCAAATGCACAGAAGTCTCTTCCGTTTCCCTTCATCCAGATAAGTCGTTCTGAACTGGTGGAGGGGAAAGCAATTGTGATAGTGTTGACTGTCACCTGAGATTATTTAGCCTCTGGCCATGCCTGTGAAGAATTATGTGGCTTAGACTGAGGTTTGTGGGCGACACCATCTCATGGGTTGAGGTCCTTTCTGCATGAGAAAGGAGTTGAGCACCCCCTGCTTCCTGACTGCACACACAGTATGACCCAGTTCCTGAAGCTCCTGCTGTCAGGACTTCCCGACCACCATGGACTGAACCTTTGAGCGGGTATGCAGAGACATCCTTTCTCCCTTAGGTTGCTTTTGTTATGGGGTCTTATCACAGCAGCAGGAAAAGTAACGGAGACAGAATCTCTCTTCCCATTAATACAAGGAGGCACACAGGACAAGGGTTGGTCAGGGAGGTGGCAGAGGCAGTGACCCCCTGACCCGGATTCTTCCCATCGTGGGTCAGGGCAGCTCAACAGGTTTTGGAAGTAATAACTCAGGGTGTGGCTAGAGCCTGAGAAAGAGCCAATTACTGTAAACCCTGCCAGGAGCCACTGTTAAGCCACCCTGTTTTGGTTTAAGAACCAGGAAAGGATTAGTGGTAACCAGATTTTTGACTCATTAAACAAACAAAGCACAGATCTCACCAGGTAGGTCCTGAAAAGACCAAGGTCATCTGTTTGAAAGGACAACCTTGGGAAAGAGGCTGTGAAGATGAATGTCGCAGTGCCCTTGTGTGGCTCAGACCCTGGCGGGTCCCCAAATGTGAATGACAGGAAGGGGACACCTGGGGAACAGAGCGGGGAAGTCGCCAGTGTGAAGCACCCAGAGCCAAAGTGTTCGGACTACAGCACAGGTGCTGTGAGGAGGCCTCATGGAGTCCAGCTCGCTCCTGCCCTCGGTGTACGAGCCATGATTACCCGGGCTGCTGCGCTGGTTCCCAGTTGGCTCCATGGCTCTTTTCGGTGAGTGGAAAGCCAAAGTCTTAATTTCTCCGCTATTAAATAGAATTGCCAATGAAAATGATGAAGCAGTCATGTGACTTATGCCATCTCGTGTTTGGTGCGTGTTGCTATGGAGTTTAGACCATTTCTTGGGCTCTTTCTGCTTGGTTCTGGACTTGCCATCAGCTGCTCAGCAGACCTGGCTGCCAGGTGCCTTGGAAGCTACTTCTTACAACACTTACTTACCTTGTTAAGGAACAGGGAACTGACATTTCCTGTTGGCATGGTGAAGAACCTCCACAGTCTGAAAGCAGTCCACACCCTCAGCTACCCACAATTAGATGCTGTTTCGTGAATAAGAGCTGATGGCATGCAATAATCTGTACGTTCTGAAAGCATGCGTGTTAGGGCGGCCTTAGGGAGCAGACGCTCTGGAAATCAAACTACAGAAGCATGTATGTGACAACTCCAGACAGTAAAGAGAACCCAAACCCTCTAAGTGTCTGTCTGGTATGTCTACAAAATGAGACACTGGCTGTAAGCCCAGGGGAAGAGGGCGAGCCCCACACCCACTTCCGGGTGCATCAGTGACCTCTACGGGACAGTCACTGCTCTCTCGTCTTTGTTTGGAAGGACAGGCTCACACCATGCAGTGTTCCCATCGCTGGAGGCACTCCACAGCTGGAACCCTTCACAGTGAGCATGCACCTGGGACTTTTTCTGCAGGGCTTTCTGAAGTTAAGGTGGGTTAGTATCATTGGCTCACACTTCAAAAAACCGGTACCTTCATCTCTTTCAATCCCTGCATGTATTTGCCTTCTACATCCTGAATCTGGTCCTTTAACTCATTAAGTTCCTGGGGGAAGTGGCACAAAAGGCAGGTGAGGCCACGGGAGAGCACTGGCAGTCCACACCCTTCACACTCTACAGCTCCTCGCATCCGGGTCAGTCCCACTGTTTAGGCAGTGGAGGAACCATGTCCTGCTTTTTTTATTAAGTGTTAAAGGACAATAAGTTTTAATGTTACAAATCTTAAAGCTTATTTGTAGTTCATACGTTTTTACACAATTCACAAAATTAAGGTATAGCTTATATGGTTTTACAAACTTGAAAAGCAGGCGGGAGAGTGGGCTGGAGAGACAGCTCAGCAGTTAAGAGTACTCGCTGCTCTTCCAGGGTACCAGAATTTGGCTCCCAGTAGCCACACTGGGTGGCTCATTACAACCTGTCACACCAGCTCTAGAGCAGCCACAAACGTGGCATTCACACACACACACACACACACACACACACACACACACACACGCACGCACACGCACACACACACGCACACACACACACACGCACACATGTAAATTTAAAACCGCGCACGCACACACACGCACACACACACACACGCACACATGTAAATTTAAAAAATAATAAAAATAAATCTTAAGCAGACCGAGGAACTCTGGCCGTAGCATAAGCTGCAGCCATACTCTGAGGGGCACAGCCAGCTGCGGGGTGGGCCCCACTCAGCCGTCTCTGCACTTGCAGCTTCCAGGCTCCACCTTGTGTCTCTCAGAGTTCCTGGTACCCAGGATAGTGTCCGCCACAAGCTAGTTTCCCAGCAAGGTCTTGCTGAACAAATTTATAGTGCTCACGTCTGAGAGCAGAGTCCAAACAGGACTGCAATTCTCTCCACTTCTAGGCCACAGAGAAACCAACGAAGTGCTGTTGTGCCGAGGCCAGGGTTTGGCATGTGACATTTTAGGGAGAGAAGACAAAACAAGAGCTCCAGCTTTCTGTGCTCCTAAAACACAGAAACTATGTCTTCGAGTCTGACTGCCAGGGAATATTTAAATCCTGTGTCTTCCTGGAAAATGCCATCTGGCTGCTTAGACATCCCCAACCAGTGAGGCTGGTTCCAAATAAGCCAAATCCAACCTTTTCAGACCCTTTGTCTGGGCCCTACCCTCTGAAGGACAGAACACGCCAGTCTCCCAGCCTCCTGACTTTCCCTTTTTCAGATGCAATCTGAAAGTTACCTTACAGTCAGTCACACAGTACTAACAGTTAGCAAATAGTGGGGGGCTGTGTTGCTTTCCCTATAGAGGTCATCAAACACACGCCCCATCCTCTGTGTCAAAGTTCTAACAGAGAATGACACCTATGTTATTAGAGTGGGAGAAAAATCATGAGAATGTAATGATGAAGTCTACCAGAGGCAGGTTGCAAGCAGAAGGGAGCGGACCCTAACCTAGAATGTAAGGGGCAAGTGTTTGGCATGGTTCTGAACAGCAAGCAATGCAGTGTCCAGAACACTCCAGAAAATGAGGATGAACTGTCTACATGTGTAGAGTGAAGGGCACGCAGGGTCTGCCTTGCTTGGGTAGGGGCAGGTCAGGCTGGCTTTCTGAGCTGGGTCTGCTGTTACAAGAACACCATGTTTTAGGACAGGCAGAGAGATGGGACGGAGAAGGATCTCAAACATCACAAATTAAACCTTTGTAAACCTGAAGACTATTTTTTTACAGGAAGTTCTTTCAAGTCACAAGCGAGTACAGCATCTTACCTTAATTTCTCTAATGGATGCTTCCGTATCGATGGAGATGGAGGTATCCCCGCTCCCTCTCCGGGAGGAAGTCCCACCCAGAGAGGCCAGAGTGGCTGCAGACAAGCTGGGCATGTTACGGGACCCCTGGATGGGTGAGGATGCAAGGTGATTAGATAAAACCAAAAGTACCAGGAAGCCTAACATTTGAGAACCTCTTCTTTCTTCATGTACCCTTTTTAATTATTTCCACAAATGATCCTCTCTCTCTCTCTCTCTCTCTCTCTCTCTCTCTCTCTCTCTCTGAATATGAAGCTTAGTATTTGGCTAGACTAGTTAGGTGGCTAGCTACCCTGGGGAGCCACCTATCTCTCCCAACTCCGGAGTGTTGGGGTGACAGCCCCATGTGTGAACACACCCAGCTTGTGTGTTGGGTATTTAAACTCAAGTCCTCATGCTTTTGGGAGCACTCTTACCCACAGAGCCAACCCCCGAGTACCTTTCCTCTAACTCAGCTTCTACACTGGACAGTCTCCATGGGCTTATGATGAACAGTGAAGAGGTTCACTTGGAGATGTATCGTGGACACTTTGGGTTTGTCTAGATTAACTGTGAGCTCTGTGTTGGGTCTTCACTGTCCCTAAGACTCAATACTCACACTGGACATGGTACTGGGCACCCCTTGGGACACGACATCATGCTGGGTGGACTTTATTAACATCAAGTCACTAGGTTTCCCGTCAATCCCACACAAAGTTTTGGGACCCGACTAATGACTAAAACAGACTTCCAGAAATCCCTTACCTTCTCAGTAAAATCTTTGTCTGGTCTCTCTTCTACCTGTGGAGGAAATGGACAAATATTAAATACTTCAAAGCCCTGAATTGATAATATGAATTCTGGAGTATGATGATGAAAAATAAAACATTAGGGCCTGGAGAAGATGCTTCAGCAGTTAAGAGCACGTATTGCTCTTCCAGAGAACCTAGGTTTGGTTCCACCCAGGTCAGCAGCTCACAGCTACCTAACTCCAGCTTAACTTAAAAACTGAAAAGCACAACTCCAAGACTCTGGCTTTCCCTGTCTCCTGTGTGGCTCTCTCGGAGGCCCCTCCTTTCCTAAGGTAGAGGCCTCAGTGGGAGGCAGAGCGCCTCTGGGGCTAAAGGCCCGTGTGGATTGGTGCCTAGCCTCAAGGACATGCCTGGTCTTGGGAGGGTATTTTGGGGACTGAGGCTGCCATGAGGACTGCTACTTTGTTTTGCTTTGCATGTAATAAGAGATGGAGTTCCTAGCCCCCAAAGGCTCTTATCTGAGCCCTCTGGGAAACTGCACTGGTTCAGCGTCACCAGAATGCTGCCAGCAACCAAGCTATTCCCATAAGTCCCAAGCACTGCTTTCCGTTACTCAGAAGTTCTTAACTATTGACTCCCCAGAGCATCGGCCAAAAACATGGGTGATAAATACAGATCCCATCACTGACTCATAGATTGGAGTGGCCTGGGGCGCTGCAGTCACCTGTGCAGATTTATACAGTGAGTGGTTCAGAAATCACTACTGTGCTTCTAGGCCACAGTTCACAGGCAACACCACTACCAAGAGTCCACGGTCACTCGGCACAAGGGCATGGTCCACACAGATGGCACAAGACATTCATCTCCAAATCCACTTCCTGTATATGTCAGGGACATCCTGCTGCACAGACCCAGTGGACCCACCACCTGCCCCTGCTGATGTGTTTTCAGTATGTGCCGAAATATTCACCAGAAGTCTTTTCAGATGTGTAGTTCATACTGGCCTAAATACACATTGTGGGGTGCCAAGGCAGGCAGGCCTCAACTGAGATGGTTCTATTTAACTGTCCCCAGCAGAGTTGGATAGACTTACTCCATGGTTTGTTTTGGTGTGTATGTATGTACATGGTTGTGTGTACATACATGTAGAAATCAGAGGTTGACATGGAGTGTCTCCCGTAATCACTCTCTACCTTATTTTTCAGACCATCTCTTACTGAGCCTGGAGCTTCCTGATTTGGCTCAACTGTCTGGCCAGAGAGCCTTGGGGATCCTCCTGCCTTGGGGATCCTCCTGCCTCCACCTTCCCAGCACTGGGATTACAGGTATGTGCCACCAGGCCTGGCTTTTTGTGGGTGCTGGGACTCTGAATTCAGGTCCACATGGCAAGCACCTGACCAGCTAAGCCATTACCTCAGCCACACCATGCTCCAGATTCTGAGCCAAGAGGACGATTTTATCTTTTCAAGTCAGTTCTCCCCACTTGAGAATAAAAGTATTTCTGAAGTACTGCTCAGATCAAATTTTCAGGTGGTTAAGAAAAAGTAGCAACCCAGCATGGACTCTGCTGGGGAATCAATGATTAATTCTCCTGGGTCTGAAGTCCCATTCCTTAGAATGAGTTAGTCTGCAGGACAAATGTTAGTGAGACAGAGATAAAGAGGGTAATTCACCTATGGGCAGGACACACCGGCACAGCTCTGCACAGTGCTGGGGATGAACCGAGGCCTAGCACAGGCATACCGAATGTGAAATGTGGGGTGTCACATGGACACTATGCAGAGAGCATTAAAAAAAATTTCCATGGAAGAGACAGCACATGTGTGGTGAGGTAACATACTAACGTGCAGTCAATTTTCTCTTTAAATTTAAAAGGCACATCGATTTGCCAGTCTTCCTGAAACAGGTGCCAGCGCAGGGAGCCCCGTGGGATGTGCGAGGGGCCCACACAGCTGTTATCCCTGCTGGCACCACTAGATGGCAGCTTGGTTGGCCTGCGTTCCTGTCCCTTCATAAAGTCCCACAAAGTACACCAGATGGCCTGTTTCACTATGGCATAAAGCATACCATTTTATCTCTGAAAACGCTGTGCAAGGAAACAGGACATGTTCATGGTTGCTGCCTGACCCGTGTGAGAGCTGCCATGGAGACAAGGCCGCCGGGGGCAGACAAGGAGGAAAGTGAGACGTGAGGGCTGTGGCCACTGCTGCTCTGTAGTCTTGGGCGTGGGACAAACCACTGTCCTTTGCAAGCACTGGTCTGCCCTAATGGAAAGGGCAAGGGTGCCAGCGTCCAGCGGCCTTTTTCTTAGCTCTTACCCCACTTCCTGAGCAGTACCTAGTATTTCAGGCCAATGTTACACTCACAGGTTAAGTGGTGTGAGTGGTCTTTCATAACCACCACTGAGTGAATGCAAAGAGAGCTTTCAAAATGGACTGGAGCCAGGTGTGGTGGCTCATGCTTGTAACGCTAGCTCAGGGAGGCTGAGCAGAACTGCCATCAGCTGGAGGCAGGTCTGGGCCACAGAGCAAGACCCTGTCAATGTCTAAAAGTTCCAGTGGAAGTTCAGTTCATGGCAACTCTTCCTTCCAAAAGCAAATGCTTTAAAGCAACACGTTCACCATCTAATTCCCACCTTCTGACATTGTGTCTTGGGATTTATTATGAAGGCCAGAGACAACATGATGGGTTTTTTTTTTGTCTTTGAGACAGGGTCTCCCTGTAGCCCCAGCTGGCCTGGAACTCACTATGTAGACCAGGCTGGCCTTGAACTCACAGAGATCCGCCTGCCTCTGCCTCCCAAGTGCTGGGTTCAAAGGTGTGCGCCACCACGCCCGGCCCGACAACATGATGTTTTAAACACAGGTTCTGTTCGGTCATCGCTGTTTCACATGCCTGAGACAAGAATACAGCATGCACCCCCATGTAAACAGACCCAGGAGGGGGCCTGGCTACAGACAGAACCTTTCCCTATAGCTCCACCTCCCAGACAGGCCACACCAGACCCAGAAAGGGAAACCCTGAAGCAACAGCACTGCTATAGCCCTCTCAAAACAAGTGACACGAGTAGACGTCACTCCGAAAACACCTGTTGTACAGGCGATTTCCCTTCAGATTTCAAAGATAGTGCAGTGGGCCTACCATTAGGCTGGGCATTTGGGGTTTATTATATTTTAATGCATTTATTTGGGGGGGTACATATATCATGGTGTGCACATGGCGGTCAGAGGACAACTTGTGGGAGTCAGTCCTCTCCTTCTACCACATGGGTCCCAGGGATCAAACTTAGACCATTGGGCTTGGCAGCGGGCGCCTTTACCACCAAGCTGTCTCACCAGCCTTGGCTTGACAAGGTCTATGTAGCCAAGAGTGGCCTAGGATTCACTATGTAGCCCAAGCTGGCCTCGAACTCATGGTTCCCTGCCTCAGTAATGAGAGGACAGCCATGTGCCACCATTCCTGGTGAATTTTTGGTTTTAAGCTCACTCTTGCATTTAGATCCGAACTTGCTCTCCGCCTGGTCCCTGCCCTGCCTCTTTGTACCATGTGAGTCACCAAGGTCTTTGTTTTCCAATTCACATGGGCAGAGCTTAGCTCATTGTTGCATGCATAAGCAATATTGGAGTCCTGGCTCCACTCTGGGCATTCCTGATGGGTGTCTCAGAAAGCTGGCAGCTCTGCTGGACTCCCGTGGGACTCTGAGGCCTATGTCATGTGGATGCTGTTGGCTTCACCAGGTTCTGCTTGGGTGTGGTTCAAGTCTAGATCCTCCAACCCCCAGATTCCACCTTCCTCCAAGCCCCGCTCCTCATGGCCTGTGCTGCTGATGCTATTTATTTGATGGGCATCTTCTGGCTCAGTCTGTGTGTCCCATGAGGGGCAAGGGCAGGTCTTTATTCCTAACACTGTGGACTCAACCCTAGAATATTCCAGGTGTTTGAGAAACACTGAACAGGTGAACTATAATTTCCTTAAGACGATTCTAGATAGGAAGGAGCGGAAGAAAGCACTGTGGGGGCGGGGTGGCAGTCCTAGTTCCCTTTCTGTTGCTGTGACAAACACTCTGACCAAAAGCAACTTGGGGAGGAAGGGTTTATTAGGCTCACATTTTCCAGGTCACAATCCATCACTGAGCGAAGTTAGGGCAGGAATCTGGAGGAACGATGCTTTCCAGCTTGCTCTCAGACTCAAGCTCAGCTAACTTATAGAACCCAGGACCACCTTCCTAGGGATGGTGCTGCCGATGGTGGACTGGGCCCTCCTACACCAATTAAGATTATCACTCACAGACATGCCCACCGTCCAACACGATAAAGACCATTGCTCAACTGAGACACCTTTTTCAGACTTTCCCCTGGGGTGTGTCAAGTTGACAGTTAAAGCTAACTAGGATGGGGTGGGGGAAGGTAAAAATGAGGTGGAACAGTGTCCCCTGCTGCCTGAAAGGGGCTGATGTTTCTTGGCTTTCCTAAGGACTGCATCCCTGGGAGCCCCAAGCTTGACCTTTGCAGTGGCCTGTGGACATAGAGGCACTTTCACATGGGAGGGGGCAGTAATCACTTCCTTTGTTTGGATGACTTTTGCTCTTTGGTGGCACAGCCCATCCCCTACTTATAGTACCACCTTGTTTCCTGCCTCACCGCTCAGACACTGGAGCTTTGAGGGCTGCAGGTGACCTTCGAATTTCCTCCTTAAGGATGCCCCTGTCTTTGGATCCCAGGACAAATACCCCTGGTGAAGTACCAGATCAGGGTATTTTCTAAGAGCCATGGAGACACCAACAATTGCGTCACATTGTGGCCAGGACAGCTCTAGCTAAGCAGAAACAAATATGCCTTTCAGAGGGCTGTTCCTTCCAGATGCAGCTCCAGAGGTTTCTGTGTCTGGCCAGATGTCCCAAGCCAGGAGTGGCAGCTGTGATATGTGAACCTGGTCTTGTAACTCCCTGCCCTGTAGCACCTCCCACAGAGGCCAGAATTCAAGGGTCACTGGCCTTTGCTAGGTTGCTCTCCTGGGGCCCTGACTGATCCATGTCTCCCTCTCAGGCAGGAGGACCCAGGCGTCTAAGCACGGGCTTCTGGGCTTCTTCCCACCAGCAAGGCTAGGCATGCTCACTGACCCTTGCTGTTTACAGCCAGCTCAGAACACCCCACTTCCCAGTGGATCAACAGCTCTAGAAAAGAGAGTGTTGACTATGGGTCCCGGGATGATGGACGAGAGAGCTAGCTCCATCTTCTATGTCTCTTTTAGGTGCCAGGATGTGCTGGTTTTGCCACTCTCTGCCCTTGGAACAAACGAGGTCTGCTGCTCCTGCTCCTGCTTCCGTGGACTGCCCTGCGTGGCAGAGGTGTCCCTGCCCTGAGGAACCACACAGGAGGTTCTGTCAACAAGGAGGTTCCTGGCTACTGTGAGGAACCAGGATGAGCCAGATCAGCCTGTCCCTCATACACTGTGGGATTCTGACCTCTGCTCACTAAATGAGTCGGGAGATACATGAAGGTCAATGGACATTTGCCATGAGCAGGTGATTCAGGAAGAAAAAAGTTTACACTGATTAACTCTACAGTGAATCAGGCAGCCAGCACAGGAGGTGGGGTGGGGTGGGGTGGGGTGGGGATGAGCTCCTCCTGGAGGGGGCCCCTAGCTCCTCCTGGACTTTTCTCACCGCAGCCTACAGGGGGGAAAGTGTGGATTCCCCAAAAGAGATCACCACCCTTGCCTCATAGGCCCCAGGGACCCCAAGACATACAATGTACCTCTCTATGTGCAGAAACAACTACCAAACCTGTTTTATGTGAGTAAACTTTCCTCAAATTTAAAAAGCACATGGCAAAGGGATCTGTGTCAGATTTCAGTTTTTCTGGTCAGAGTGTGTATACATGCTGTCATTCTGTGATTTCATTATGATACTTGAATAAGCCCAAATAAAATGCCTGCTTTGCCACCCCAGCAGAAGACACACCCCAAGCCAGGGTTAGAAGTCTTTGGAAGGAAAGCCACAGACTTCCTCCCTCAGTTGCAAATACTTCTCTTTTTCTTCCAAAAAGGGAGTGTGAGACCATTATGCACAAGGAAGAGGGATTCTGCCCTGGATTTACCAGGGGAGAATCTTTGTTTCCAGCCATTTGAAGGCTCCCCATGGGCCAGTTTACGTGTTTCTTAGCCACAGAGCCTGAGGTACTTATGACAGTCCTTCAAATTGAAAGGGAGGACACCCAGTGGGGTATAGGGCGGAGAACTCCACTCCCCTACACACTATGCTCCCCAGGACAGGGCTTGAATCCCTGGGCAGTACAGCACTGGGGAGCCGACTTCCAATCTACATGGATTTACAGCTGGGATTTAGAGCTGAGCAAGAGAGCTCAGCCTGGACTGTCTGCCCTTTCCACCCATGGCTTCCTGTATGGGACTCCAGCCACACTTCGGCCACAGCCTGGGTGTCTCCCTCCACCCTAACCAAAACTGTCCTTCAAGGAGGGAAAAAAATCCTTGTTCAAGCCGGGCGTGATGGTATATACCAGTAACCCCTGCCCTTGGGAAGTGGAGGCAGGAGGATAAGGGCTTCAGCTGCATAGTGAGTTTGAGGTCAGCCTGGGTAATGTGAGATCATCTCAAGAGAAACAACAACAAAAATCAAACCAAACAAGGGGACTGGGAAGACGGCTCAGTTGGTAGTTACGTGCTGTGCAAGCTTCAGTACCCGAGTCTGACCCCCAGCACCTAGGTTTTAAAAACCCAGGAATGGTGTCACCCATAGTCCTAGCACTGAGCAGGCAGGAGGTCCTGGGGGCTTGCTGGTCAGAGATCTGTCTCAAATTAATTGGAGAGCGACTGAGGAAAACACCTGATGTTGACTCTGGACTCCACAAGTGCGCACATGCTTGTACACACACACAAGACACACAAAACAGAATAATTCGTTGTTTAGAGAATAGTCTAAAAAAGCATCACAGATCAGGTGAAACTGTCAACCCATGAAAGCCCAGCTACCCAGGCCCTGCCTCCTACAGCAAGGTCTGGCTTGTGCTGAGTCACAGAGGAGAGCAGGGCGTGACACCTGTGTAACAAACAGGCCTACAGGTGACCAAGTAGAACTGGCGTGACACAGCATTACAACCCCAAACTCTATCTGGAAACTTGCCTGGGTCTGACAACCTATAATATTTTTAAGGAACCGTTAAAAGTCAAGCCTACAAAAATTCAAATCATGGTCAGGCATGGTGGTGCCTGTAATCCCAGGCACGAGGCAGGCGGATCTCTGTGAGTTCAAGGCCAGCCTGGTCTACATAGTGAGTTCCAGGCCAGCTGGGGCTACAGGGAGATCCTGTCTTAAAAAGATGAAAAAAAAAATTCAAATCATAAGTACAGCACATCCACACACACGGCTAGTTTACCCTCTCAGACTCCATCTCTAAGTACTGCTTACAACTTTTGTTACTGCCCTTGAGGGACTGGGCAGCGAGTTCCTGCCGACATCCAACTGCAGTCTTTTAAACTTGGAACCATCTTTCCAATCCTATTTTTACTTAAACCTGTGTTTTACAGACCGGGTCACTTTTAAGGGACAGAGAAGTGCAGGATAAAGGGGTTGGGGATGGAAGGGAAGCAAGGAGAGGAGGAAGTTGGAGGGCAACAGGGCCGGAAGCAGACTTACCACAGGGCTGGCCCGTGCAGAGCTGGCCCTGGAGGAGGCGCGGGAGCTGGAGTTGAGGTGGCCGCTGTACTCCGAGGGCTGCCCACGCAGCCACCGCAGGACGCACAGATGGAAATAAAGGAACAGGGTCAGCAAGAGACAAGAGAGCGACAGCCAACCAAGATCGCACTTCAGTTAGCGTGGAGGTTAGCCACACGCACACGGCAGAGCGCAGAGACGTTAGGGTTAGGTGGTGAACTAGGCTCAGAAAAGGAGCCCGAGTCTATCACACAGTCAGGTAAATGTCCACAAAGAATAAATAACAACTTCATTATCCAACAGGTGCAGGTGCCCAGGGTTAGTAGCAGGAAAACAAGCACTGTGGTCTCAGGTGTGTGTCACACCTCGAATGTTCACCAAAACCGACCTTGCATAGTCACAGAAACCGGGCGTGTTCGGGGACCTGCACTGCCTTGCAGCTCAGAAAATGAGCCAGGAAGAGGGGACAGGAAGTAGGGGGTTCTGAAGGAAGGTTTTGCCTGTTCTCTCTCCAAGTGGAAACCCGGGTGCCTTCCCTCTGGGTGCTGGTGTGCGGCTACCTGGCCTCCTCCCTTCCGCCAAACTTTAGTTTGCAATTGTTTGTGTTCTAGTTTTAGACATATGTTCAAGTTATTTTAAAAAGACAATATCCTCATTTTCAGTCAGGCCAGGGGGGAAGGGGGCCGGGGAGAGGAACATCATTCAGAGTCACTAGTGCCGAGCAGATCCTGATATGTCCTCAGGTGCACCTTCAGGAGAGACCCTTGGAGCCCGCTGGACCACTGAGGTCCCATCCCTCCCTCCCTCCCTCCCGCCCCAGCTACCTGCCCTGGGCCAGAAGCTGTCTAGCCTCTCTGCTGGGAGGCCTGCAGACAGCATCCTTTCTGTAAACTGTAAGGACCCTCCATCTATGGGGTGCTTACCACCCCATCTCTAGTACCACCTCTGAGTTTGTCTCCCTACCAGGAGGTGAGCTCCAGTGGGCAGTCTGTCTACTCAGTTCCCTGTGAATCTCCAGTGAGCAGATGAGGCCTGGCATACTCCAGAGATTCTTGCTGGATGAGTGAAGGACTCCAGCTTTTTACTAGCAATAGCCTGAGGAACTGTGCCTCATGCTGAGTCTTGTTCCAAGGTTCCCAGGTCAGAACATCCCTCAGACCAGCTGGCCTTACTTGACCCTGCTGAAAAGCAGCAGCTACACCAGGCCCCAGATCCCATGTGCTAGCTATGCTCAGGACTTACTGAAGGTTAAATAAAAGCACTGGATGTGTTAAAGGGCTGTGGCCAGCACAGACAGGCCTCTGGAGACCTCCTACCTATATTTATTTCTTCACTGGATAAATACATGTTTGCACTGTGTGGCGTGTAAAGAGCTGTAGGGACTATAATGCTGCTTCCTTCCAGCCTGAGGCTCCCTAGTCAGAACAGCTCTCAAATCACCTGGACTGACTTGAGCTTGTTGAAGAAAAGCAGCTACAATTTACATCCCCCAGGCCTTATGTGCCACCTCCTACCTAGGAGTCACGAGGTCAATGGGGGCGTCTAATGCAAGCCAGAAAGCTCTGAGTTTGCATCACACTGTATATCTTGTTGGCCATGTGAACGTTGTAACACGGAAACTAGGACAGGTCCACAAGGAGGTACCACCACGAAGAGGATGCCTACAGTCTCTGCTCTCATTTCCTGCTGGAAACTGTCTTCCTGGACCCCTGCTCAGATGGGTGGAAACTGCCTCTCCAAGCGTCAAAATGAGGTTTACCTCACCCACAACCATCAGCTACCTCAGGGGACATGAGGGGACAGAGGGAAGTCCTCCAAAGTGGAACCAGGTCTGTCACAGCAACCCTCAGGGCTAGGGGAGGCCCTCTCAGACAGGAGCCGAGTGCAGGCTAGACACAGAGCCTCTCTCTCAAGGCTCACCCTGAAATTAATGCTCTCCATGTTCACCGAGGGGTGCTAGGGACCTTGGAGAGGAAGACAAAAGTGGTCCAGAGGTCAGAGAACATCCTCTTTCCCCCCTCCCTCCTAGGGTCAAGACTTCTACCAGCAGTTCCACTAAGGTCCAACTTGCCCATGTGAGTGACTGTGGCTGGGGTGCATGGCCAGACCCCAAGGGTATGGAGTGCGTGCCTGAGGGTGAGGGCCATGCTCTAGGGGACAGCCCTCAGGCCAACAGTACACCCTAGAGGCACTACTTAAAGCATATCTAGGCGCCTCCAGCCTGTGGATTTGACACATTCTACTTGGGTCATCAGAAAACTACCCAGCCCAGGAAAAGCAGAATAGTAGTAACAACTACTATGGTCCCTCTTTTCTGAAGAAAGAAAATCATTTTCAGTGCACCTTAGTCGTCATGCCAAAGGCCAAGCCACCCCATCCATTAGGTAGGTCTATGAGCTTTCCAATGGCCTACAAGGTTTATTTAACTGGGGAAAATGCTTAACATAATGGGCTCCAATTAAACTAAACAATGTGTATAGTACAAACCTTAACCAATGTTTAGTTAGATACCAACACGAACTAATTTTCTATCACTAGAAGGATAGACTTAGTATTTGGAAAAAAGAATACTTTGTAAGAAATCGTGAACATCTGTAATGGTTGGAGGAATTACATGACAAAATCATAAAACTGGATTTAGCCAATTAACAAAGGAACTGGTTAGTTTCAAAGGCCAAGTCCTCCCAGTATTTTAAGCCCATCTTTGTAAGCATCCCTAGAAGCTTGAGTGCATCACAGACTTTGCACCAGAGATTCCAATGCAGGTGCATCCGTCCACCCTGGAGCGCAAGCCAGGATGGGGGTGGCCAGGACCTGAGCGCTCGGCCTCGGTGGGTGTCAGGCTAAACTAGCTCTCACATCCGTGGACTCAACGGCAGTTCACTTTGTTACTTTCCCATTCACTCAAGGGCAAATTTCTGTTCAGAGCGGCTACTCCCCTTCACCCTCACAGCGGAGCCGCCGTGTCAAGTCCTCCGACGAAAGGTAGAAAAGCCGTAAAATGGAAAAGTGAAATATGGGTAACGGTCCAACTCCTAAGATTGGCCCATTTTGACAATTCAGAGGTAAAAATCACTTGTGACCTGGGGAATTCCCCTATTATTTTCAGAACCTCATACTTGTTACTGTTGCTAAGGAGTTGCGGATGGCAGCGGATGAAACCGAACTGAGGTGAGTCTCTCTGACCTGCGAATAAAAGGCTGCAGAGGACATGAAAGTAACAAGCAAAGGTTTGGGATTCCTTCATCCATGAGTTTTGTAATAGTGGAAAACTCAGACAGTGCTTCCTCCCTGTGACATCAGGCAGCACCCAGAAAACCCCGGAGGGCCATGCAGCAGACAGTGAGGCACGGTGGGAAACACAGAATGTGCCTTACAGCACGGGAACCGCAGGCACTGCCCCGCCAGGCCCCGTAGTGACCGCTCTCGTCCATCACAGGAGCCTGCCATGAAAACATACCATCAGGACAAGCGCCCTGTCTTGTTCCAGAGCTACACAGAAAACACAGAAAGGTAAGTTCAAGGACAGTGACCCGAGCGAGGGTCGCACGCGGCCCTTTACAGCTCTTCCACAGAGGCTTGGAGGAGTGGCAGAAATCAAAACAGAGACGTTTAAGTGGTTGTCAGTCAGCATGCAATTTCATCTCCAATTTTCCTCATTCCCTTCAAGGACTACTGGCTTGGTCAGTCGTTTATATACACACCTAACTTCTAAGTGTGTAATGTGGTGGAAATCCAGAGTTATTAACATAGTTACCTTGAAAACTCAGTTTCCTGCGTAACATAACCATCTACATTTAAAACTGGAAGTTTCAAAAGTAATATAATCAGATGGAAACTTTCAAAGTACTGTTACCATCTGTTAAGGCTGCCGACACACTAGGGACCATCTTTCTGTGAGCAGGTAAATGTTATCATTGTTGCCTTCCTAATAATCCTACACAGAGTTGGAGCAGGGTGACAGCTACTGCCAGCAGCAGGCAGAGAGAAAGTTCAGATCTGGCCAGAGGACTGACCGACACCAAAGGGTGGGTAAGCTGCAGGTAAGGCGCTACTTCCCCAGCAGCATGGGAAACAGTCCCTGGGCAGCAGAGCATGCATGACAGGCAGGGAGGGGCATGCGTCTTAGGAGGGGTGCACAGTGGGGGTGGGGAGCACACGCACCCGGTAACTCCCCACAAGCCGGGCAGCACCGCGCAGAGAGGAGGGCTGCAGGAGGAAAGCAAATGGCAGGCTTTAGATCCCTGGATGAACACAGCAGGTGAGCAGCATTAAGACCAAGGTGTAGGTTCAGTCCCCACAACACCCAAGTAACTGCTACATGGGGGTTGGAAGAAGCCAAAATTGTGTTTTCAGGAAATTGGACAGCTGGAAACCCAAAACTCATAGGAAAGATAAAGGATAGAATTTCTAACTTTAAAATTACAAACCTTCCTAGCACCTTTGAAATGAACTACTTTTTAATCATTTTTTTTCAGACAGTGCTGGAAGGGCCGGGGAAGAACTGAATCAAGGTCAACAGGCGACCATAGCAACACAGTGAGGTTACCCATCACCCGGGGAACTTCACAACTCAATTCTATATCTGAGGGTTTGGTATTCCTGGGCTTAACTAACCAGAGATCAAAAACACTGGAAAAAAATGGAAAGATCTGAATGGAACTAGCTAGACTTTGCTGTACTGTTTTCTAAACAGCACAGCATGGCAACCAGTCCGCAGATTTACTTAGTAGGCATCCAAAGAGATCCAGAGATGACTTAAAGTTCATAGGAGGATGTGTGTAACACAACTGCCACAGCATTCTATGGGAAGAGTTTGGGGAACAGGAGGAACCTTGAACCATTCCCCTCAGATACATAGAAAACTACATAAATGTCTACCCATAAAGAGTGTAGCAGTAGAGTGCTTATTTCTACCAGAGGTTCACACAGGGCAGTAAAGACACAAAAGAGAGAGAAGGCTGCTCTGCTGGCCGGGGCTGGTACTTCCCAAACCCTACTGACCCTGCCCAGGGGGGCTGCACACTTAGAACACACAGCAGGGTGATGCAGAGGCATGAGGGGCCACGTGGGGCCATGGAGGTGGCTATCTGGGGGCACAGGACTTAGCCACAGCCAAGCCATGACTCATATACTGGCCTATGATACATCTAAAAGAGCCAGGAAAGGTGCATGGCGACAGACAGCAACTAGGCAGCTGTGTCTGTGTGCAAAGGAGAGGACAGTTCAACCTCCAAAGGAGCGTGTGCTGACACGGGCTTCCCTGTGCTGGAACGGGGCTCCCATACCCGCAGTGACAAAGGCTCAGTTGGCTGGACCTGAACCCTGGTCTTGTGAAAGCAGGAAATGGACAGAGAGCCAAAGAAATACTAGGTTGTGTCCACTTCTCCGTGCAGGACGCAGAGTGCACAGGAACCTGAGATTGTTTCCTGGACACATTTACAAAAGAAAAATATTTTTTAAAATGCAAATTGAAACCATTGAAACCCCAAATGGGGAACAATTGCTGGAAGCGGAGAGACCCAAGAGACCTATTTTTTTAGACTTGAGTTTTTTTTTTTAAATATACATTTCGCAGAACTCTTTTTCTAAAGTTCATTTTTCCATATTAGGCTCTAAATTACGTTTTTAGAAACTTGAGAAAGGTCTTAGTAAGCTGGCCAAGCCAACCCAAACACCCCAAGCGCAGCTCTGTGGGCTGCACACTGAAGAGGTTGAAGTGCTCTCTATGTGCATCAGCCACACGTGCTGCTGTAGAAGGCAGGACAGGGAGAACAGACCCGGGTTCCATTCTGGGCAGACAGGGCTTTGGAAGCCAGGCCACTACTGGGAAAGCCAAGGTCAGGGCTGAAGAGTCCCTGAAATCAGAGAAAAGTCAGGTCAGGTCAGGTGGGGGGTAGAAAGCCACACCACTCCATCTCAGAGGTGTATCAGAGCTGGAAACTCAGGGAAAATGGCCTTACACGACACCAGAGCACAGGCATGCACTGGCCGGGGGGGGGGGGGGGGGAGGAGAAGAAAGTGGTCAGGAGGAACACAAGTCAGTTAATTGACAGAACCAATACATCTGAGTTAGTGCACAGAGGAAGAAAGATTTAACTCTAACTGATAACAAGGTCATAAGGTTTTAGTCTTGGTGATTTGAGTTCTGAATTTTTTTTTTGTCTTTTTGAGACAGGGTCTCTCTGTAGCCCCAGCTGTCCTGGAACTCACTATGTAGACCAGGCTGTCCTCAAACTCACAGAGATCCGCCTGCCTCTGCCTCCCAACGGCTGGGATTAAAGGCATGTGCCACCATGCCTGGCTAGAGTTCTGACTTAAAATTTGGTGGGAAAACTCCAGGAATTTATAGGGATCTCAGCCTTTACTTATATAATAAATACATCACCAGGAATGGTCTTGCCCTCTTGATTGGGTGTTTCCATAATAAGAATGAGTTTGGGATTCACAGAAGGACTACCGGACTAAGTGTCAGGACTCTGAGACCCAGTGTGGAAAATGCGATGGGGTAACTACCAGTCTTTCGGAATAACATGATTTATCCAGATTAAACGATCCCTACGGGGGCAGCTGCCTGCTCCTGACTTCTGTGTGCTCAGGATTCTATTGCTCATACAACCAGGCAGTCCCTGCTAATGAAGTGCCCCACCCCAGCACCCATGGTATCTAAGGTCCCTTAAGGTCCCAGAATGTCACTTCTCATTCTTGAGCCTCCAGTAAGTCACCCCAAAGTGACCCAAGGGAGAAGGAAGTAGAATTCCAGGGCTCAAGGAAAGAAACTTCCAAACACTGGCACTTGCTCTGGGAGCCAGAGAGACTGCTCTCTGTGGAAGCCCTCTGTGGAGGCTGATGGAGCCACACGAGGGAGCGTGCACACAGACCTGCTTCCAACCCAGGTCCAAAGACTTAAAAAGTTAAATGGAAGAGTCACAGAGCCCATGTCTTAATGTTGATACCTTTCCATGGCCACATTTAAATAACATGAAGCAAGCAGGTGTGCTGTGCAGGAAGAGAGCAAGTGGGTGCTGGTGTGTGTGTGCGTGTGAAATGAGACATCGGGCACTGAAGGAAGAACACACATGGCCTTGTGGAGAGTCCTGATGCATTTTATATCTGAAAGGACCAGCTCTAATTCTGACCTTTAACCCTTAGTCTATAGACTATGTCTATAAAGTGAACTGATTTGGACACAGGCTCTGCTTTACCCAGGCAGTGCTCTCGATTCTTTAGTTTTTTCCCCCCTCTTTAATCTTTAAGGTCATATCCATTGTTCTGACATCCCTGGGAAAATCAGTCTCTCCCTATAATCCTATTCATGCCTCCTTTACTGTGGTACCAGGACCTGGCTGTTGGTGGGCTGTATCCCAGGAGTAAGACTCAGGAGTTCCCATCTTGCCCGCTTATCTGGGCTGACTCAGTTCTCCATTTACCTAAACTGATTCCCTAGTTTGGTGAGTAGATGAGCCTTAACTAGGACATGCCAGCCTCAGCCAGTAGGGAGCGTCAATAAGTAGAAATTACACTGTCCTGGATCAATGCATGCCAATGTGTGCAGATGACTGAATTAAAGACTGGGATTTTATTCCAAGGCTAGACCATCTCTGATAAGGTACCACAAAGCACAAGCTTCCTACAGAGTACCAATTTTCAGAAACTCTGGGAAAGAAGGTCAAAGTATTCTTATTTTTTCCTTTGGATTAATTCTAACTGGAAAACAATACATACAAGAATAGTGTTGATTCATTCATGATCGTGACTGAATATGACAATTTATACTGAAATACAGAACAATAGTTAGTCTGAACAAAGTAACTCAAGTGAATTACTCCTCCAAACTTCAACAAAACAGCTATTCCAAACAGAAGCTTGTACACAGGTATCAGGAGGGACTCCACACAGGGTACACGCTATAAAACCTGTAGTGTCTGAAGAGAGGATGGAAATATTTAAATGGAAACCAACCAACTTCTCTTCCCTGGAGGTCGACAAAGCGGAGAATCTGCTGTCGCTGCTGTAGCTGGAATTCTAGGCATCAAAGAAGGAGAGTTTGTGAGTGATGAGAGCTTCTTTACCCTGCCCATTCACAAGGCAAATATAAGGTAACACAGGCACCCTAGTATTAGTACCCAGGAACTCTGATTCAGCTGAAGAATGGAGTAGAGCCTCAGTGCCTGACGTATTTACAAAAGAAATTCTGAACAAGAGTCTAAGCTACGTTGTACATTCAGTGCTGTGCCTCAGAAAAGTCATGTAGTCGTCTATTTATTGCTAGGTAACTGCTTACTAAATTTCATGTCAAGCCATCTATACCCTCTTAGACTCAACCTTCCTTAATGAATATCTGCTTAGGTAACTGACACTATGTCCACTGCAAAATGTTCAACCCAGCAAGTGAGGACTCCCCCAAGGGCTGAGAGGGCAGGGGAGGCTGAGGGTCAGCTTCTACCCCTCCAGCTGAGGCGGTGTCCTAGCCATGCCTGGAGCGTGCAGCATAAAAGATAAGGCCAAAGAGAATATGGGGGAAGGTGACATTGCACGCCAAGGCTTGTGACAGTGATCAGGTGACCAGGCAGGGTCCCCTCAGGTGGGGTGACATCTGCCAGGTGTCCCGTGCCATCCTCTATCTCCTCCAGGCTCCTCGACATGCTCTGCAAGCTTAGTGTAAGTTACATGTGGGTTATTTTGTTCTTCAAACATGACTTTCTCTGAGTACTTGTTAGATCAATCCAGTGTCACTTTGTGAACAGTTTTATAGCCAGGCTCCTTCGTATTTGATTTCTAGAGGCATGGCCTAAACCTTAACTAAATAATGCTGGATACGCATGTGACTCAGGACTTGAGGTCACCCTGAACTACCACAGGTGTGCTAGAAACTTTTATCAGATGTGTAGAGAAGTGTGCCATTGGGAGAAGCTGGACCCAAGACCTTCCAAAGTAACTTCAGTCATGGCAAAACCACATACCAGGAACAAAGTCACAACTAGTCAATTATGGGCTATCAGGAAGCTCTTGTCCTGGCACAGCTGGTAGTCAGAACCCACAGCACTGCTGAGCACAGCCAGCAACACCATTCGCAGGGCTGTGTACAGGACAGTGCCTACAGGCTCATGTCCCCAGGGTGCTGTGTTGCCCTGAAGACCAGCGGTGTCAGTGTGAAGGGCAGTACAAGGCTTGAACTAGGAGGTTTCTAAAGCCTGGAAAAGCTTAGAATAAATATAATAAAGGTTCAGGCAGTCCTCACCTGTCTCCAGAAGGCTAGGGAAACCTGCTCTGCTGGTTTTAAGAAGCTGAGCTTATTGGCTGTGTGTGTGTGTGTGTGCGTGTGTGTGTCAGAGAGAGGTTTGAAGTCTAGAAATAAATTGAAGTGAATATGTACTACCTTAACATAATTAAAATAAATCAAATTTTACACAATAAATATATTACCCAAACAGAAAATAATGAGCGTTAGGACAGGAAGGCCTTAGATCATTAACTCAGAATAGCCCTGTGCAGATCCCAAGACCTGATTAAAATATGCCCAGTTTAATCCAACATGCTCAGCGGCCATATCCTTGATAAATTCCAGGCCTTCCATAATCAGGCTCTGTCTCTCCCTACAGCTCTGGGCTGCTTCTCCAGGGTGCCCTGCCTCCCACCCTGCCACCCTCCCACCTTCCCACCCTCCTGCCAGCAAAGGCATCAGGATTCCATTCTCTTCCCCTCCATTTTCTCCTCAGGAAAATACAGGCTCTTGTGCATATGTCTTTAATAAACATTAAAACCGCAGGTTGGATATGGAGAACTGTGAAAATGTCAGGCTTACGTCCATGTGAAAGCCAAATATATTGACAGACACTGAGCACACACTGAGAGTGGAACAAAGAAAGAGCTAACTGTTCATTCCAGACAGTTTTAGGAACGCTTATCAGTATCAGCTTCTTATGGTGCCACTGAGAATGCCCATCATGCTAAGAATGTTCGCATACTAACATTTGGAGCATGTTAGACTGTGATAGAAAAAAAAAGAGCTATGATAACATAAAAAGAGCAAAGAAGCTAAATTTAGCAATGTACTCTAGACCTGCTGAAGCAGCCCGTGGAAGCACATGCCATGCAGGTTGGCTGTACTAACCCTGCCAGATCTTCTACTCAGGGACTGGGATCCATAACAGTCTCCATCATAACCGTTTGTCTGTTTCAACAAAGAGAGAAAAGGTGACATCAGTGTGCAGATGGCACAGGCACAAATCAGTGAGGGACAATTAGCTGGGAATAATAAACAGCATTCTGGGAGGGGGAGACAAGGGAATGAATGACCAGCCCAGGACAGCAGAAACCCTGGCTACCCCCAAACTGCCAGCAAGCCCTTTATCCCACATGTAAATCTGAAGTCTCTCCTGTGGAGTGAGCCGGAGGCAGCTGCTTTCCTGGGCAGTTTTCTTGTGTCCAGTCTTAGTGCTGTTGGAAAACTCTAGCTTTCAAGAAAGCTGAATGCCAGGCCGGAGGTGACTGACAGCCTGAGTCAGATTTTTCAGGTGTTGGCTCAAGATAGGGCCTAGGAAATCCCTCTCTGAATGAAGCTGTGTTCCTAGGAGTCAGGACAGTGTCCGGCCAACGTATAACTAAACACAAAAGTCCCCTAAGAAAGAATGCCAAGTCCTCCAGAGTGGTCTCCCATTCACCCTGTGTTCCTATCTTGCTTTTCAAGATGAACTCTAACTAAAAAACTTAGTGATTTTATCATATGTCCTCTGGAGGGAGTTGGGGTGTGTGGTGGTGGTGGTAAAAAAACGAGACTGGATATGGTAAAAGCTTGCCTGGCTCCACTCCTTTGCTCCCCTAAGCCAGAGCAGGGACTTCCTGAAAGTGCTCTGCTGATCTAAGGAACTATCTACTACACAAGGAACGACCTCCAAAGAAACCTCTGCTGATCTAAGGGTCGCCAAACATGGAGGGCAAAGCACTCCACAGATGGAAAGCAGAGAGCAGCCAACCATCTATCTGTTAGAGGGAAGCCTCACTACAGGCCTTGGTCCCAAACTGCACATGTGAGGTCTGTCATGTGACCTTAGGCAAGGTACCCAACCAGTTGTGACACTGTGCACCACAGTGTATGTCACAGGTACACGAGCGTCAGCGAGCCTCCAGGGGCACATGCAACTGACTGGTGAACACAGACAGCAAGTGTGAGGGCCTGGAGTATTGGAGGTACTAGTGGATCCTTATAGGGTGTAGAGGTTGGCTTAGTTCATGTGGCCTTTTTTTTTTTTAATATGTTATGAGTGTTTTGCCTGCATGTATGCTCGTTAGCTGCCATGTGGTGCCGGGAATCAAACGAAGTCCTCTGCAAGAGCAGCCAGTGCTCTAACCACTGTGTTCAGCTTATCTTGTAGAGATATAACACTGACATGGGGTAAAGTAACTGACAGGCAGACTCACTCCAGATTCATGAAACCTTGATTACAAACTATATACCTACTTTTGCTACAGTTAAAAAAAAAATCAATCTGAAGTTTCTAAATGAAACAAGAATCCTTCCACATTAAGCCTGAAAACTCGGCCAGGAACAGCATGTCCACGTCTGAGATCAGTTTAACAGACTGCTATGGTGCTCTCTCTCCTCTCCTCGCCTGCCTTCGCTGCCTAGATTATGGGATAAGGAAACCCGCGTGAAGGACTCGTAACGCTCAGACCTCAAACCTCCTCCCTTGTTATCCTTAGAAACTAGTTTCTGAAAGGAATGCATCCGCTGCGGAATGCTTAGATGTGACTTCGCTAATGAAGGAGGGAGAAAATGGACCACACAGAAACGCCCTCGGCTCCGTCCTTGTTGCTCATAAAATCCACAGCACCTCTGATAATCCCTCCTGCTCTTCTGGTTCTCTCAACGGACTGAAGGGGCAGAGGCTGGGAGAGCACATGCACGCTCTCATTGGTCGCCTCTTCTCTCCAAGCCTTCCGTGAAAATGAAGGAAAAATGGAGTTCTGTCATGGGGAACATACTCCTAGATGACACCCCCAAATCTACAGGCTCCCCTGACAACACCTCCCCAGCAACGGGTACTCGGACTTTCCCATGGATTACCACCATCTCTCCCAGGGTTCTGTTTTCATGTGGTGCATTAGATAAGTAGAGGTGTTTTAAGGAGGAATAATAGGGCATGGGGGATGGTGGGGGACTGTCACAACGTTAGCACAAAAAGACCACAGCCAGCCTCCATCTTCAGACAGGCCTGACGTCCAGTCCGTGTAGCCGCACAGGACTTTTTTCTCAGCACACCTCACTGTGGCTTCCAAAGGTACTCTGCTGGCCAGGTGCTACCAGAGGGCCGTCCGCAGCATCTGCCCCATGGCCACCTGGCTGGAGCCTCTGACCTAGGAAACTGGAACCCCTGGTGGGTAGGGCTCTCTGGATAAGCACAGAGAGAAGCACCCCTCTAGAGAGAGCTGAATAGAGGTCACTCAGGCCAGCCTTTCCCAACAGCAAAAAGCTAAGCAGATGCCCATCAAAACCAGGCATTCTAATGGAGATGGTGGCCAGGCAGCGTCTACCTGCTGCTGTGTAGCTCCAAAGCACAGAGACTTCCAACATGACCGTGCAATGCCAGCTGTCAGCTTTTCTGATTAATAACATTAGCTGTTTGTTTTTCTATGTAAGTCACAGGGCACAGCACATCCAAAGAGCATTGAAATAGGAAACAAAACAAGAAAGGTTAGCCAAAACTTGTGACTCGCATGCTTGAGACATTCAAATTAACTTTAAAAACGAAAGACACTGAAAAACAAAACCCCAAACATGCCCTTAGCCACTGTTAGGATGCACGTTCATCCGCCAAGGACAGGCCCTTAACATTGAACTTGAGTTTAAATAAAATGGGTGGCAATCCAGAAACGGGCTCAAAGCATTTGGTTCCTTGAGGGTCAGAAGAACTGTCAGAGCCACAGCGAATATGGCAGTGCTCCGCATATTAGGAGATGCCCCGTGAGGGGCACTTCTTGAATCGTAGGCCTGTCCTGTGCATCCCCCTAGCTGGCCTGTCTCACCAGGTTAGGACCGTCGCCACGGTGGTTCAGTGAGATGGAGCTGGGGGTTCCCATGCCCAGCTCCCTCTATCAGCTCCATGGACTAGGCAGACTCACGGCACTATTTATTAATGATTGCCATAGATATAAAAGTGAACTTGAAGTTTACAATGAAGGAAGCACAAAAGTTTTCCAATGAGGTCACCAACCACAAACCGCCACAGAAGCTACAGGTGGAGCCCTCTTCTGAGTGTGAATGGCACCCATTTCTAGAGAGTATGCAGCATGGAAACTCAGAGACTAGCAGTCCCAAGTTTAAATCAAAAGCCTTTGTTTTTGTTACTGGAACTGGAGTCTTAAAGTACTCTCTGGCAAAAGAACCAGCTAATACACTTAATTTGAGCGGTTACAGACTAGGGAAGGTGGGAATTTATTGTGTAAATGACTTCTTCACACTTAATTTTCAAAGGACCAAGGGAAGCCTTGGGAAGTCTTAGTCTGGTGGGTTCTTCTAGGAACCCACAGTGTGTGGCCAACAGCTGGCACCCAGTGACACCTGGAAGTGAGACCCAGGCAGTTTGGTCCAGGCTCCAGGGCCCATTCACAGCTCAGGAGGCCCCAAGAAGATGGTGGCTCATTCCAGAGGGAGACCCGCCCTCCTGACCTCACAGACCCCTGGGTGAAGACTGGCAGATGGACGTAGGCTTTTGGAAAAGCGCTCAGGAGGTTAGTGGAAACACTAAGGTTATCGTCTGTCACTGCACACAGAGCCACACGGCAAGCTTATCCAACCACCTCACCAAGGCGTAGGGACCCCTGTACTCCAGGTCAGGCTGTGCCTGTTGGAATAAGGATGAAACAGGAAAACAGAAACAAGTACCAGAAATAAGTCACAGAGCTAATAAAACAGAAAGGCTAAAATCGGGCAGTCTTTAAAATCTTAACGAGTGCAATCGCCATGGTTTCTAAATCTTACATGCATTTAGAAAAGAATTACAAGTAACAGGATGAGAGCTATCATAAAGTCCAAGAACATTAAATGACTTCTGTGCAACAGCTGCTGTAATTCATGAAATGAAAACCCATTTGGGTCTTATTTCATCCTTGACATAGATACATTCTAATTAAATTAGGGAAAGGTCAGCAGGTCTATCACTGTCAATTTTTAAATAAGGAAAATTAAAACCATATGATATCCCCAATCTAGTTTTCCTGAGGGGACCATTCACAGTGACACCAGAACAGTGCCCCCCTTTCCCCTGGGACATCATCGCTAAATGCAAAGGTGTGTTTTAGGAGTTAAAGAAATGATTGTAGGAATTTACAAAGTAAAGGCTTCAAAGTAAAGGCTGGAGAGATGGTTCCGCAGGAAGAAGCACTGGCCGCCCTCGCAAAGGACCCGGGTGCCATTTCCGGCACCCACATGGCGGCTAACCATCATCTGTAACTCCAGTCCCAGGGGATCCAATACCCTCTTCTGGCCTCCACAGGTGCTGCACACACAATTCACTTACATATATGCAGGTAAAACACTTGTACACATAAAATAGAATCATAAACAAATGCTGAAACTATATTAGGCAGCACAGTTTGACCTCCATGGATAGAGTGAGATGCGACTCCCTCAGGGAGGTGGCTGCTTCTTCCAGCTGTACCACCCAGCCAGAGATAGAGCTTCGAGAGGGCCCTGAGGAATCAGGAGCTGACCCTGTCCCTGAGTGCTGTGACCCCAGCAGGCTAAGTGCTCTGGGCTGGTTCTGCACCCGTGAGAATTGTTAGGGTTGACTCTCCTCTCTAGGACCCCAGCTCCTCAAGTTCTGTGGTGTTTAAAGAGTCTGTGTTTCAAATGAAGCACAGCATGGCAGAGCCCTGTGGCATACGGTGGCCGAAACTGAAATCCGGGGACTTCCTCCCTTTCTCTTTTTTAGCTCGCGGTGGACTTCCTATGTGAAACTTCAGACCCCAAATTGAATATACTAGTAAGTCAAAGAAAGATGGGCAGCTAGGAGATTAAGACCATGGAACAGGCGAAATAACAACCCAACACTCACTATAACTACAAATTGTTTGGAATCAGGGCCCCCCCCCCCAGGAGATCTTCAGATAGTGGAATTCCTCCCGAGAACCCTAAGTGCACAGCAGTCTTGCCACAATCTTGGAGGGTCATAGGTCTGAAGATGATATGTGCCAATGAAGACATGGATTCCATGTCTCTCTCCTATGTCATCAGGTTGGCCTCTCACCATTTTTGGCAAAGTCACTGATGTCCCTGGAGGAGGCTCAGTTCAAGCCAGCTCTCAGTTCCTTACTTCACAGTCCCTCTCCTGGTCCTGAAACTGCACTTCCCTGGGTTTCAAGGGCTCAACCTTCAGGACCCCCTGACCACTGAAATGCCTGTGCCTGGCCACGGATGTTGCAAGCTGAGCTTTGCACCTATATTTTGGTTACATAAATCTTCCTTCCGTGTCTGAGGGCCTGTGAGGAAGTCACAAAAGCTACTTAGGAGAAACTTCCCAGCAGCAAAGGGCCAATTCAGTTACTTCTCATGTAATTCTAACTGTCCCCTAAGGGACAGGATCTGTTCATAGTGCTACAAGGACAGAGGCAGTGACAGTGGTTAGGCCACAAAGGTACCTGCTACTGCTATTTTACTGCTAGAAATGTCAATTTAAACATACACCTAGGGCATGTACAGTCAAGGACTGACACTGTGTTGTGTGATGATAAACCAGCCCTTAGGGTGACGAGGTCCCTTGGCAAACAGGAGTGGCTGCTTGGAGACCTAGGTGTCGCAGTAGTGGGATGCCACTTCAGCCTGCACCAAATCAACATGCTCACAGTAACCTGCTAAGCTAAAACACAACTTCCTCACTTCTTGGAGCATGCACTTTCTTCCAGTACACGTATGAAACTGTTTTTATTAACCATGAAACTGTCAGGGAAGAACTTCCAGGGCTGAGGATGCAGCTGAGGCAGGGCACTGGCCTAGCATATGTGAGAATCTAGGTCCCATCCCCAGCACTACAAACAAAACTTTCACCATTCATTACAAAGAAAGACTCCTGAGGGTGGCCAGTATAACCCTAGGCAGCCTCCAGCAATCAAAGAAACATATCCAAGTTATAATTAACTCAACACTACTTTGTGTGTTTGTATACACGTGTATGTGCATGCAGGTATGTGTGGAGGTCAATGGACAACCTCAGGTTTTGTTCCTCAGGAGCATTAGGCCCCTCTTTTTGAGGCAGTCTCTCTCACTGGCCTGGAATTTACCAAGCAGGATAATCTAGCTAGCCAGCCATCCCCAGTGATTTGCCGTCTTCCCCTCCCCAGCACTGGGATTCCCAGTGTGCACCACCCATGCCTGGCTGTTTTCCTATGGGTTCTGAGGATCGAATTCAGATCCTCAAGCTGCCAACTCTTTCCCCAGCCCAACTTATGGTAGTTCAACCAAGATCCTGGCTTTATTCGGGAGTGTGCAGGTAAGCAGGCATGCAGACTTGCCAAGGGGCACCTCTACCTTTAGGTTTCTGTCCATCACGCCAACAGTTCCGAGATAATTGTGAATCAAGGTTTGGTAGTTTCACATTGAGGAAAAATATTGAATAATGACTTCCACCCTTGGGAGAAGACTAAAACAAAGTCCCCCCCCCCACCTTGGTTAGCGTGTACACAGCATCTCGTCAGTTAGATGGGGACCAGTGGGGCATGGGGATGACGGACTGAGGAGCGAGGGCAGGGATGGGAAAGCAAGGGACGTCTCTCGTGAGAAGTGTGCCATGCAGATGCAATCACGCCATCACTGACCCTCAGACTGCTGCGACTACCCACGGACAAGCGCTCGTCTTCGTCAGAAGCCTATTAAGAGACAGGAGAAGACATCTGTGAAGTCGAACTGAAAAATCTGCAAGGCTCGGCAGGCGTGCCGACCTGACTCCACAGTTGTGGGTGGACCAGCCGTGCCGGGCGCTCAGGGGATGTGAGCCAGGTCCTTAGCACGCCTCAATTTGTCTTAGGACTGTTTATGGAAACACAGTGTGCCACAGGTAACTTCTAGATAGGTTACTAATAAGCCTTGACGTGTACTGCTCTATACATGTCATTCCTGGGTATTCAGCAGCAAAAAAGTACTACAGTGACATGGGTAGTATATTAATAATATTAAATACTCAAAAGTTTCCAAACAGGGCTGGGGATACAGTTAATGGTAGAGTGCTCACCCAAGCATGCATGAGACCCTGGGTTCAAGACCCAGTTTAAAAAAAAATCCAAAACACTTTCTCCACTCAATTTAGGTCAAAATGCTAAAATCTGAATTATACCCTTTATTCAGGTAAAAATATTAGTTTTATATCAATAATAGTACATTGCTCTCAAGCATTATATATAAGAACAAATAAGACCCCTAAAAGAACAAATAAGACCCCAATCAAACTGCCCAGGCAGTGAAGGGACACAGTACTGACCGATGTGTTTCTTCTGGATCTGCGTGAGTAACGTTCGCTGTCTTCCTACCAAAGCAACAGGGAATGTATAAAGAGGTTAGAGACAGGCACAGCTGAGCCTGCAACCCTCAGATGGTCCCACTGCAACACACTACAGCATTTCTGATCTACATATCAAGTCAATATTTTCTTAGCTTTTGTTTAAAGGCTTCAATTAAACCACTGGGGGAAACGCCTTCTCAGGGAGGTTCTTAAGTACACAAATAACTGGCATAGTTCATGGCTGTAAAAGCAGTAAGCAAGGACTGGGCTGGGCCAGACATGAAGTCCTGGGTTTTTTCCCTTTGTTTTGATATGAAGCCTGAAATGTGCTACGTAGACCAGACTTCAAACTCACAGAGATCCGCCTGCCCCTGCCTCCTCAGTGCTAAGATTTAAGGTATGTGCTACCAGGCCTGGCTCAAGTCTTGCTTTTCTCTAACCTCTATGATCTGGTTTTGAACTAGTCCCCTTCTGCAGTTCAGAGGCTGACTCTCCTCCAGGAATCCGAAGGTAGATCATTCCTTCAGAAAACCCCGATGTGGACGTCACCTGTACTTGCTCTGCCTGCAGACAGTTTCCACGTCTGTCTCTGTGAGATGCAAAGTCACTCACAACTGTAACTAGCAGCTGTCTTTCTGTCTTTCTGTCTCCGTGGTCATCTCTCTGTGGGCGTGACGAGACCAGAGGGGTCAACAGCAAGGGTGCCCAGTGTTGGGGTGGGTAATGGGGCAGATGGCAGTCCATGAAGGAAGCAAAGAGAGCCCCAAGGCCCCTTCTGGTTCTAATGAGAACACAGTGAGATGTTCTATGGTAACTTGAGATTTCTGGAAAACTCTTACAAAGGGATACAAACCCAGCCTGAGTTCCTGGGGAATCTTTTGATCCAGGAAACTGAGGAAACAGTGGGGATGGTGACATCTCACACAATGCTAGAGATGTCAGCAGAGGACAGTCACACACCTGGCCAGGTGGGTTCGAACACCAGACCAGATGCAGAAATGCCTGGCAGACTTCCGAGTATCAAACGGCCAAGCACTTGCAATCTACCGGCAAAACTAAACTGCATTAAGAATTAAATTAGAAGGCCGGGCGTGGTGGTGCACGCCTTTAATCCCAGCACTTGGGAGGCAGAGGCAGGTGGATCTCTGTAAGTTAGAGGCCAGCCTGGTCTCCATAGCGAATCCAGGCCAGCTAGGGCTACAGGGAGACCCTGTCTCAAAAAGACCAGAAAAAAAAAAAGAGTTATAAACGATATAAGTCTCAAAATTATATTCAAGGCCTACCATCCACTGCTCGATGTCACCCCATTTTGTATCCAGCCCATAATATTTCTATAGACAGAAAGGAAACAAAGTTAGGCAAGACAGATAAAATAGTAAAGGCACAGGAAACTGTTCAGCCATGCTTCCCGCCCACCACCCTTGCCATTGTGGGGGTGACATGCTTGCAAAGTGGCCATAGCACCGCAGGTCTGTGGGGAAAGTTGCTGCAGCCATGCAGATCGGGAAGAGGCTTGCCCAGTCGCCCTTCCCTGCAAACCCGGGGAGGCCAAGGCACAGCCCTCCTGGGCATGGTGGCCTCCAAAGTCAGGAAGCCAAACCTTGTCCAGAAGGCACTGCAGACCCTTCTGTAAATCCGCATCTTTGGGGCACCGTGCAAAAGGAACAGCACTGTCTAGAAGAAGCACAAACTGACAGCCGTTCTGCGTTGCTGCCCCAGGAGAGGGAAACCCGGGGAGGGGGGTGAGCTCCACAGTGACCCAGGTTTCTCTCAGCGTGTTCTTGCTGTCTGGCACCTATGCCCAGTGCAGGCCTGGGAACCTACTCCCTTTGGCGTTTTTGTGCCTGCTATGGATACACAGATGCTTGTGGCCTGCAGAGCAGGTCTTTAGACAGGAAGAGCGACTGTAGCTAACAGCTCCAGGTTCTACTTTCCCGGTCTAAACCAGTCCAAACTAGATGGAACAAAGCACATGAGCGTGGCTGCTGCTGTCACTAACTGGAATGACACAAGGTCAGGTGGGAAGCCAGGCAACAGATAAATGGGCTTGTTGCTTTGTTTCTGATTTTCTCCTCAATTTCCAATATGAAAATCAAGGAACAGGCAACCAAACTGCCACACCATAAAACCTAGATATGACTTGCCATGTTCTAAGTTTATAATCAGAAATAAGACAACCAGGTGCCAGAAGTACAGGGCCTTTCTGAAATAATCTGACTACTCAGACATGCTGCAGCTGTTGGGTTAGTCTCGCTGTGCGGAGGGCCAAGTCGAGGATACCCAGCCCTGGTCCTCCCTCTTAAGAGATGTTGGTTAGTAGAAAACCGAAGGAGAAACCAGGAGGGAGGATTTCGCTCAGCGTCAAAAGGCCAACCATGGCAAACTAATGCAAAAATCTACACAAGCAGATCTTTTCTCTAAGTGATGTGAACTGAAACACCCCAGAAAGAGCCACTTTGTAGCCTGGTTGATTACAGCTTTGTGATTGTAGAGACTTAGAATGTTGTAGAACAAAAGCCAGAATTATCTTGAGCCCTCACTGGAGCCGCTTACCAACCACCTCTGTACCTGGCCTAACATCCTTTGCATGATCAAGTGAAAGCCTTTGGAATGTATTAACTTAGCAGAACGGCTTCCACCAAACCCACACCTAAGAACGGCATCAGAGCATCTGAAGCCTACAGCAGAGATGCCCGCTCTGCTCTAACCCACCTACCTGCTGCCCCACCAATGCACTGGGAAGACGCCTTGATTTATGACTCTTGTTCTGTGGCCTGACAAAGCTGAAGTAACCATTCCTATGGTCACACATCATTTAGTGCAAACTGAATCTGTGCCCTTAGGCCACGGTCACTTACATTTGGCCTCTTATTCCCTTTGGAGCGAGAGCTGTGTTTTGAACCAACTGTTATTTCCTCAGAACACAAATTAATAAAGGAAATAAACACAGACACTTGCCAAAGTGGCAGTTGCCATTCTGCACTCAGAATGCCAGGTCCAGCCTTACCGCCAGCATCCAGATTCTTCCCATAAAACACACGCTGTCTCTACACCTTAATCTCCGTTCGTTAAGAAGACGGGAGGAAAATGCATTTCTGCTTTTCTTCCTTTCCTTTTTTATTTTTATTTTTTTAGGGCTGGGAAATGATTCTAGGTAAGCGCTCTACCACTGAGCTGCATCTCGTCTTCTTTCACTTCTTATTTGAAGACAAAATTTCACTAAGTTGTCCAGGCTGGACTTGAACTCATTCTGTAGCCCAGAAATGCCTTGAATTTGTGATCTTCCTGCCTCAGCCTCCGTAGCAATCAGAATTACAAGCCTATGTCAGAGTTGGCTTGAAATACTTTTTTTTTTTCTTTTGACACAGGCCTCAATTTCACAAAGATCCACCTGCCTCTGCCTTCTGAGTGCTGGGATTAAAGGTGTGTGCCATCATGCCTAATAAAATCTGTATTTCAAAAAATATTATTTTAGGCTGGGCATAGTGGCATATTACTTTAATCCCAGCACTCGGGAGGCAGAGGCAGGTGGATTTCTGTGAGTTCAAGGCCAGCCTGGTCTACAAAGTGAGTTCCAGGACAGCTGGAGCTTACAGGGAGACCCTGTCTCAAAAAGACCAAAAAAAAAAAATTATTTTATTTTACGTGTATGAGTATTTTGCCTGCATGTATGTAAGTGCATCCATGTCATGCAATGCCTCCAGAGGCCAGAAGAGGGCACTGGATCCCCCAGAACTAGAGTTACAGATGGTTGTTAGCTGCCACATGAGTGCTGGGAACTGAACCCCATTCCTCTGTAAGAGCAGCCAGTGTTCTTAACCACTGGGCCATCTCTCCAGTCCCTGAAATATGTATTTTTAAAAAGGAGAGAGACCTATATAAATTCACAACAGAGTTATTCCAAAATAAGCCTGCATTACCATTTTCCTACTTCCCTGCTTTTCCTTTGCCCTATTCTGTATATAGTCAGACACTGCACTACTCCTCATGATGAAAATGAGACAGTGTTCAAGCACTGCTACTGTAATATAGAGTTCATTTCCAGTGTCACTCAGTGAGCCAGCAGCACCCACACAGTGCCGAGGCCGGGCATTTCAGTGTGGACACTGTCTTAAACCATGATGCAGAGGGAGCATGAGCCAGACCGAGGCCGTTGGAAGGTGTCTGACCTTCAGAAGGCAGTGCTAAGTCCTGAAGCCCTAATCAGCCCAGCAGCCCACAGGATGGGAGAGGACCTGCCCCTTGTCATAAATGTGGGTGAAGAAAAATCCTTCCGTTCCCTGACAGAAAGTGTCGTCGGCTCCTGGGGGAACTTTGGGGATCTTCCAGCTGCTTGCCCTGCATCCACGTTCACATCTGACAGTTCTCATAACACATCCCAGGCCTGTCAGCAAAAAAAACCAGCCATGAGGCTTAACAGGATGCAAGGGGAAATGACCAGATCCAGTCCCTTTCCTGGGCTTGGGGCAACAATGTCTTGCTGTGTCACTGACTTCCAGGGCTCTCCAGCCTTGCTCAAACCTGTCAGAGTCCTCTTGGGTCTCTAAAAGACAGGGAACTTGGGCTCCAGTAGCCATTTCTGTACTGGACCCTGGGAATGCCAACAGCATGCCTACCGAGTGTGCTGGCTCCGCAGCTCACCTTTCTGCTTCTCCTCCCCACTGAAGGCAGGACAGGAAGGACGGAGAGCCATCAGAACTGAGCACAGGCTTTCAACATAGCAGGCTCCGAAATTTACTACACTTTGAACTCAGACTCTGTGTTCTTACTCTGCCCTTTTTAGCTGCTCTATGGAGAAAATACACCTGTTTTTTGTTTGTTTTGTCTTGTTTAGTTTTAAATATAGAAACTAGAGTTCACGAAAGGAACACAAGCTCACCCACAGGAAAGGCTCCCAGGACACCAAACCCATAGCCTCTCAGGGCTGGTCAGGCCCCACTCCATCATGCCTGGGCCCCAAGGCCCCGGCGAGCCAACAAGTCAGCTCTCTGTATTCTCTGACTGCTCTGTTAACTCACTTCCAAACCCCAGTGGTTGCTATGGAACTGAGAGGCCCGTTCCTCTGCAACACTGGCAGTGCTGGGATGGAGGAGGGGGGGCTTTGTCTTAAGCAGGTGGATTTTGCTCTTCTATCCCTATTCTCTTTGATTATCTCATTCACTTTTTATTTCTAGACTTTTTATTTCTAGATTTTTCTTTTTCGGAGCCCAGGTAGGCTTGGAACTTGGGATCTTCTTGTCTGAGTTCCCAAGTTCTGGGGCCACCACACCTGGCCCAATAACAACTGTGTTCTCGTTCTCGTTCTCTCTCTCTCTCTCTCTCTCTCTCTCTCTC